GAGATGGGGAGAGGCTCCTCATCCCCGCCCCGCCCCATTGCCATTCCTAATCAAACTAATGAAACTGACCAACCCGATTTCTAGTATTTTAAGTCGGCTTTGGCTCAACAATTTTCCAACCTGARTGGGTTGGATCAGTTTCGCTTTGGTCATTTGTAAACTAACAAAAATCGAACGACCTGACTATATATATATATATATTTATATATAATATTTTTTTAATATGTGAAAGTGGGAAAATTCCATTATTTCTTAGTCTAAAATATTTTATACCATAAATTTATTTTTTAATAATGCTATTGTAATTCTTTTTTAAATTTAAACTTAATTTTTTAAGTTCAAATCTTTTGAACCAACCAACCAAACCGAAAATTGACCCAAACCAATATAACTTGAGTGACCAATTCCCCAATCCAACCAGGTCGATTTGGTTGGCCAAACAACCTACAACTGAGCCGAACCAAATTGTGAAACAACAATTTAATCTCCAATAATTATTAAAAATTTATAGAAAAAATACATAATAAATTAAATCTAAAAAGCTAAATAACAGTAGTTTAAACTTCAATAATTGTTGAAAATTTTCTATTAAATAACAAAACAAAAATAGATTTATACATAATTATTGAAAATATATTTATCACAGAAACAATAAATAACTACTAAAATACAATAAATATTAATTTTAGTATATATAAATATATAATAAATATAGATTAAGTTTTTAAAATTATTATGATTAAATATTAATTATTTTGAAAGTTATTTTCTAGAATTATTAATTGGTATGAATAAAATTAGTTATTTACAATATTATTTATTTATTGAAATAATATCATTATTTAAATTTCAAAATATTAATTACTAGTTGAATTTAATAATCCATAAAAATTATAATACTATTAATACATAATTTTGTTATTTTAACTATTTAAAACCTAGTGATGTTAATTATTTCGTTGTTTAACATATTTAGTTATTTAACTAAATACTTAAAATATTAATATATTTACTATAATTGAAAGTTATTCAGTAACTATTTAAAATATATTATTAATTGATTAAAATATTAATTTTACTATTTTTTTATTTAAGATATTTAGTTATTGAAATATTTAAATAATATTTCATTTTTTAATGTTAGATTTTTATTATTTGAATAACATTAAGATTGAATAATCCAGAAAATCAAAATTTATTTTGTTTGTACATAATTTCGTGATGAGTTTTGTAAAAATATATAATTATTAATAATATTAATATTATTAAGTTGACTATAATTAATTTTTGTCTTTTTAATAAATATTTTAATGTTCTTATATTATTATATTAGAATATTTAAATAATTCTTAATTTTTTTAATTCAATTTTTCTTTAGATAGTTGTAGATACAAAGTGGGGGAGAAGATAAATGAGAATTTCAGATAATTTAGGAGAGAAACTCTCTACTAAATTGAAGATAACTTAGGAGAAAGTTGGGGATGGTGGGGGAGGTTGTTGAGAAATTTTAGGATATTAGATTATTTTGGTTGAGATCACATCTCTGCCCCACAACTCCCCATAGCACATCCCTGCCATGTATTGGGAACATCTCCCGATAAAGACACCATCAGCCGGTACACTCATCGGGAGATATTCCAAATACACGACGGAGATGTGCTATGGGGCATTATAGGGCGGCCCCTTGTGGGGTGGAGATGTGAACTATTAGAACCAGAGAGAGAGAGAGAGATTTTAAGAAGATTTTTTTTTGAATAAAGTAGAGTTTCTAATTGATAATTTCAAAAATGACATGAATTAAAATATTCAAAATTCAAAAAAAAGGAAAATTTTTTCTTGAGTTTTTGTTTTAATATATATATATATATATATATTAAAACGAAGCGGTCAAGATATTTTCTCCTTTTTTCAATTTTTTATTTTTATATTCAATGTCATTTTTTAAAGAACCAATGAGATGCTCTCCTTCCCCAACAATCTCTTATCCTAAAATTTATTCTAAACAACCTCCCCCACTTTCTCCTAAATCATCTCCAATTCCTATTTATCTCCTAACTTATCTCTAATTTACTAGAGAATTTCTCTCCAAATGATCTCTAATTCCTATTTATCCTCTTTGCCACATTTTATATATTTCTATCTAAAGAAAGTTTAAATTGAAAAATTAAACATTATTTAAATATTTAACAAATTATATAATCTTTAAAATATTTATTAAAAATATAAAAAATAATTATAATAGATTTAATAATATTTATATTTCTACAAAATTCATCATGAAATTATGAACTAACAATATAAACTATGATTTTTCAGATTATTCAAATTAAATTTATTCAAATAATAGAAATTTAACATTAAAAATGAAATATTATTTAAATATTTCAATAATTAAATATCTTAAATTCAAATAATAAGTATTTTTAAATATTTTATATACTATTTAATATACTAAAATTAAATATATTTTCAATAATTATATATAAATCTATATTTTTTTGTTATTTAATAGAAAATTTTAAATAATTATTGGAAATTAAACTACCGTTATTTAACTTTTTAAATTTAATTTGGTATACTTATTGTATTTATTGTATTTTTTAGATTACAATATTTATTGACTAACTTAATATGTTTTTTAGTATTTTTGTAATTATTGTAATTGTTTTATTTTTATTAGTTATTTTTTTTATTATCAATATATTTTCAGTTATTGTACATTTTTGCTATAAATTTGTAGTACTTATTGCATTTTTGTAATTATTGTATTTTTTTATTATCAATATATTTTTATATAAATTTTCAATAATTATTGGAGATTAAACTATTATTATTTATTGGAGATAAGACTATTAATTTCGCTAAAATTATGAGTGCTCGTGAGTTGGTTTAGTCCAGCCATAGGCTATTTGGCCAACCAAATTGACCTGGTTAGGTTGGGGATTTGGTCAGCTGGAATAGATTGACCTTTTGTGAAAACCAACCCACAAAAGATTTAAACTTAAAAATTGAATTTAATTTTAAAAATTACAGTACAATTATTAAAAAATTAGATTTATGAAATAAAACATTTTAGACTAGGAAATATGGGAAATTTCTCACTTTTTCATATTGAAAATTATATTTAAAATATAAAATATTAATATATATCCATTGTTAGGTCATTCGGTTTTGGTTAGTTTTCAAATGGCCAAAGTACTAGAACTGATCCAACCTGGTAGAATTGGGATTTTTTTTTTAACCAAAGTCGACATAAAATATTAGAAAACTGACCAACTCGGGTCGAGTTGATCGGGTTGGTCGGTTTCATAAGTTTAATAAACCTAACTAAAATTAGTTATTATTATTTTTGTATTATAAAAAATTTATTAAAAATAGTATATAAAATATGAATAATTATTAATTATTTAAAAAAGTTAAAAATATAAAACAATTGTATACTCCTATGTGTTTCTATTAGGGTCATTTACTAAAATAAACCTTTAGGGATGGCAATTTTCCCCATCCCCGACGGGGGCCTGACTTCCCCAACCCAATGGGGTCGGGGATGGGGATTGTTTTGACGGGGCGGGGGTAGGGACGGGGATTAATAGGAATTCCCAATCAGGGTCGGGGATGGGGATTGAGGTCCCCGCCTTGCCCCGACCCCGATTATATACATACATATTAAATGTTATTTATATTAAATATATTATTATATTATTTATATTATATATATCAATATATATTTAAAACATTATTTATAATTTAAACTTTTATTTATTTTAAATAAATTTATTAAAAAAATACTATTATCTAAAAACACTTTGGGGATATGATTCGGGTCCCTATGAGGAACCCATCCCCATCGGGGATCAGGGAATGGGGTTAATTTCATAATTGGGGTCGGGGACAGGGAATATGATCCCCGCCCCGTTGCCAATCCTACACACGTTATAGCTTTTCATATTTACTTAAACCTACCTTATAGTTTTCATTTTACTAAAACATCCCATATATTTTACAACTTATTTACTTAATCAACCTTTCATTAAGGAGTGTTTGTTTTGCCATTAGACCCATGAATTTTTATTCTAAAAATACCCTTTATACTTTTTTTGTATAGAAAACAAAATTGACCAAATATAGCCAATAGAATGGTTGTTTGTGTCTTATTAAGGGTAAAAATGATATTTTTATTTTTATTTTCTTTTGATTAAATTTATTTAAATGAATATCAGCATTAACGCTATCATTTTCTACTGTCATTTAATGAAAGATAAGTGATGTTTTAATAAAATACTAATTATAAAGTAGATTTTAATAAATCCATAAAATTATAGAAGATATTTTAGTAAATAACCCTTTTTATTATATAACTGTCGCTTAATAAATCCTATAAATCGCACGGATCTCTGCTGATATATATACATGTTGTTTTGGAGCGATATTTGCTCAATGAAATCACTGAAACCTAGTTGTAGATTGAAAGTAACATTCCTTAGTATCTGAGATTTTGTTTGTTTGTAGACAAAGCGAGACTCAGGGGACACATCCATGGACCATGGCACATGAGACTCGTCCAGATAAGGCCAAAGTCCAAAAGAAAGGTCACCGCATTGGTTGGTCTCCATCTCTCCAAAGTCCAAAGAGAATTCTACCCAAATGGGACTCCATTTGTCCACCGTTTGATTACAGCAGGTAGGGATATTCGATATGGGTTCATCACTACATGGATTAGGTTTGCCTGGCTCTTCCATTGGGCATGCAGGATGCAGCACAGTCACGTTGCTCAGAAAACAGCAAGTTAGCAGGTTGAATGATGCGTGTCAGGCAGCGAGCTGGCCACAACCTACAGTTGCTTTTCTATAAACAACTGAAAACGTGTCGTTCATCTCAGCTTCTTGCGTGTCGGTTGTAATGTTGCTTCATTCTTCCTTCGCCACGTCTGCCACTGCGTGTCCCACTTGTGCTTCATTGATCAGGAGCAGCTTAATTAGCAGGATATATCTTCTAAGTACTACTCTTCCTCGCTTTCCTACAGCAACGCAATGAATCTCCTACTAATAAACAGAAGGACGTCGTGGTTGTTTGGCTGTAGTTTGTTATATAGAGAGGATTTCTTAAGTGAAGGAAAGAAGATAGTGAGAAGAATGGCATCCGGGCAGCAGAGAACCGAACTTGACGCCAGAGCCAGGCAGGGAGAGACTGTAGTCCCTGGTGGAACTGGAGGGAAGAGCCTCGAAGCACAGGAGCATCTCGCCGAAGGTTTATCATTCTTTCTTTGCGTTCTTTTTCTCTAATTTTGGTTGGACTCTTGTGTTTGTAGTTTGGTCTCCCTCTGTGTTACTGCGTGCAATTGAACTGGTTCACAGGGAGGAGCCGTGGAGGGCAGTCGAGGAAGGACCAGCTAGGCACGGAAGGATACCAGGAGATGGGGTGGAAGGGTGGACTTAGCACCATGGACCAGTCCGGCGGGGAGAGTGCAGCACAAGAGGGGATTGACATCGACGAATCCAAGTTTACCACAAGGCGTTAGTGTTTCCTTTATTAGTTATTAGTTCTGTTGTCTGGTAATAGTAACATGACTGGCTAGTTGAAGAAATATTACTAAAGTAGGATATTTAAATATATAGGTTTTGCTTTCTGATTTCTTTCTTCCATTTTTTTGGCTTTTATATCCTTTCTCATGTCGTAGTGGATTGTTTAGCATGAAATCTCTATCTCCCTCTCTCATACAGCTGTTCGCCCATCGCACACAATGCAGAGCCCGTTTGGGAGGGCTTAAGCGTTGAGTCGTTGGCTGAGCGGAGAAGCTGCCTGAGAGTTTCACAAAAAAGCCCTTTCACGGCTTTCACCAGAAGCCCCTGCAGTAGTGTCCGTTTGCCCGTTTGGGAGAGTTGCGAGGTGGGCCAATTAACTTCTACAACGTGGTTCAGTCAATGCAATTCAATCAAGGTTGAATCCGTTCCAAACGGACTCAGTATCCGTTTTAGAGGGTTTTCACTTTTCACGCAGCGGCGGTCTGCTGTCTGCTGAAGATTCAGCTATTTCAGCTGTTCCGGATAATCTAATTCAAAGCGGGTCTAACGTGTTCCGAAGTCGGGTAAAGCTAGTTTCAGCTACTTCATCGGTTGAGAATTCGGTCAAAGTTGAATCTCTTCCAAACGGGTTCTTTTAGAGGGATTTCATGCAGTGCTGCCGAAAGAGTCAGCTAGTAGGCGAATTAGTGACTGGGTCGGCCAACGGGGGATGAACATAAGATCTGTGGTGAATTAGTGATTGGGTCGGGGATGTCACCCGTTACCGTTGTCTGATCAGCTGAATAGGTCTTCTCTGAAATTTAGGCCTTATATTTGGGGCTAGTAGGCGTATAGCGAAAATCTATAATTGGCTACCCCATGTTTCAAAGTATCCGAAACGCATGGATATTGATACGGATTAAGATACGTATGGAAACATRGAAATGCTATAAATATTTTAATAATGGTCTTTGTTATATATTTATTATATAAATATATTTATTAGGCGTGTGAAAGCATCCTTTTTTGTTTTTCTAAATTTATAGAGTTTTGGCAAATTTTTATAAGACTTGAATCTTTAAAAAGTTTTTAAAATGGGTTTAGAAACTATCTTTTTATGCCATATTAAAATTGTATTGTATCGGTACGAAATGGGTACGATACGGCCTCTATAGATACGGCACATACGTGATGAAATTTTGAACTTTGGGGGTTTTCACGTAGCGGAAATTTTAAACCTTGTTATCATATCTTTTTTTATATATATTATATATATATATATATATATATGATAACTCAACAAAAAATATTATTATAAATCATGGTTTAAAAAAATGAACCGGTGATTGAATCGGTCAGGGTTTGGTTATTGGTTTGAATGGTCTGACCGTTCGGATGGTTGGCTTGTTCTGACAAAAAAATAAAAAATTAGAAAATTAGAAAATGGTTCGAATAGTTAATTAACCGGTTCAGTGGTTTGTTGACCAAAATCAACCGTTCCTTCGGAATGAAATCCCATTGCAGTTGAATTCAATTTCCATTCCAACTATGGGAAATTGGGAATAGACCATGGTATACAATGATCCCTTCCCTTTTCTCCAACCCCGATTCTGAGAAAGAACAAAAACATGCAAGAGGGAGGGACTTTAGTTCTACGTCATAACTATTTTGGAGAATTTGGAGTAGAAGGGAAATGCTAAGGATTGTGCAACTATATGAGATATCTGTTATGGTCTCTTGCCACTAATCCAACCCCCGAACAAGTAGTAGAAACTAGAAAGGGTTCATCAATCAAAGTTAATTTTGATACACTGAAATGATGGGCGCCGCCAATGAATATCCAAAGCGTCATCCTCATTTTTAGAGGGATTGAAGATAGATTCCTCACTATTCAACTGAATGGTAGTAGAGGGAGATGCTCTCCGACTTCGTAAATTCATTCGTGTGGTTTAGTGCACTCTCATGGGACCACTTCTCTTGGGACTTGGGAGTTGTAAGTCTTGTTTGGTGGTTGCTAATGATTCTGACTCGGTCCCAGACAAAGATACACAATTTTCAACTTTCCTTAACATCTTATTTTTATGTGCTTTGAATGTCATAACTTGACAAGCGATTGGGAACTGCACCCATTCGTGGGGCGACCGAGTGAGGGGAGCATCCCATAGCCAAGCATGGATCAGAGGGTCGACTGGGGAATGTGATAAGGGGTGTCAATGGATTTCAAGGGAGTGTTCGTTTTTTTGGATATTGAGAGGGGGAAGTTGGATAAAGGGATTGTGACCGAGAATCACATGTTTTTTTATGTGGAATTAGGGAAAATTAATATTATTTAGTAAAGTGATACTCATCTTCCAGTGGATAAATAACTCTTATATCAAGAAAGTTGTCAGTAGTTGGATGGGACAAAAATACTCTTTTTTTATGATTAAAATGATCCTTGTTTTTATGAAAAATAGAAAAACAAAAAACAAAAAACATGGACACTTACCTCACCAAGCGTATCTCAGGCAATAATCACATTTACCCATATAAGTAACTCTTAGGCTTAATTTGGAAATATATATAAAGCGTAAAATTATGCATTTTGTATGTGTTTGTACTATACACATTTCTATGATATATTAAAAAGAAAAAGTGATTTGATAAAAACAAGAGTTCAAGACAATATTGTTGTCCATCAGATTGGATTTGTCTATGGTAGATTAAAGGCCTTACGAATTACATCGATGCATTCCGTTTAGGATTTATCTCAGGCTTAGTTTGGAAAGGGAATAAATACAAATATATACAATATAAATGCATACAAAATACAAAACTTTGCACTATACATATTTGTATTTATACTCCCAAATTGAGTGTAGGATACTTCCTAGTTGGTGGCTACAGCCTACATAGTTGAGCAGCAATCTTTCAAATCTGGAAGTCTGGACTCTAGATTCACCTTAGAGCCTAGATGTCACAAGTGACCATTTTGTCGCGCTTTCAAGTGCCATTACCACGCCCATAGCCTGCCATCCAAGTCTCCAAGTTTGTGTCTCGGGTGGGACATTGCATGTATTTTGTATGGGGGAATTGTCAATGGYATTATTGTAATTCTATAGTATGATTTTTCACCTTTTTTATTTGTTCGTATGTCACTTCCCCAAAAGCTTAACGTACTCTTTGAGGGTAGGTAGGTAGTCAAGTGAATCAATACCATGTAAACGTTAAGCACGAGATCCCCTTGACACTAAACTATGTGCTTGTACTTGCCATCTATTAATGCAATATAAATAGCATTTTGCTAATTCGTGTGTCATCTTGTTGCCTTTTTGTGTGTGTTTGCTTTGTTGCTTAGGATTTATTCGCCCCATTCGAGTGCCGCACGGGGCCTCAACGATTACCTTCATGACAGTTGGTATCAGAACAGGAGCTCCTTCCTAGCTATTCGACCCGCGACGTGAGTGACAGCATGAAGCACAACATGGACATCATGGAGGAGATTGAACATGGACTCTCCACATCCCATGAGCCTGACGATGCACCCGCCGACAACATCGGCAATGACAAGGCACCGAAGCCCAACAAACGTGAGAAATCTAACAACAAGCATGCAGCCATTGACTTGCGCATGCTACGTTGCAAAGCCACCGTAGGTGAGATGCGAGACTCGATAGACGAGCTACATCAAAACATGGAAACCATGGACTATACACTAGTCGAAATGGAAGGCCGCCTAAGTAGAGTCGTGAATGAGGTCCATGACATAATCAATGGCACGCTCAAGGAAATTTGCAGCACTGCGCGCCAACAAGAAGCAAGCTCATCCAACTCGCAGGTCCAAGACAAGCTTGACAGTTTTCAAGCCTAGCTCGATGAGATGAAGAAAGAAGGGGCAACGTGGAGAAGAACCATCTCCACATCAATGGCCATCCAGGCCTAGTTAGATGAAATGAAAGCGGAGTGGGCCTCAATGAAGTCAGCCGCGTGTGCCTCCTCCGATGTCCAAGCTCAACTAAAGGAACTCAAAGCTGAATGTGCAATCCTGAAGAGGACCATCGCCAATCCAACCAACACCTCATTTGCACATACTCCCTCCCACATCAAGATTAGGGAGCCAACTCCTTATTCGGGTGCCCGCAATGCATGAGAGTTTGACAACTTCTTATGGCAAATGGAACAGAACCTTGTTGCAGCCAATGTGACTGATGAAACGACTCAGGTGTGTACTGCTACTATGTATTTGACTGATGTCGCTATGTTGTGGTGGCGCAGAACTTGTGTTGACATAGAACGTGGTACATGTGCTATTCGTACCTGGGCTGACTTTAAGCAAGAGCTGAAGAGACAGTTCTACCTGGAGAACGTGGAGTACCTCGCTCGTCACAAGATGAAAACTCTCAAGCATGGTGACTCGCTCCATGAATATGTCAAAGAATTTTCAGCCCTCACATTGGAAGTCATCGATATGTCCGACAATGACTTATTGTTCAACTTCATGGATGGCCTAAAGTCTTGGGCCGAGCTCGAGCTCCAACGACGTAATGTTCAGGACCTTGCCTCTGCCATGGACGTGGCCGAACAACTTGGTGAACTGAGACTATCAGATGATGAAGGAAGCAAAACAGCCAGTCTGTGTGCCACGCATTCGAGTGGGGGAGATAGACAACTAAGTCCCCCAAAGGAGAAGCCGACCTTCAACCACAAACCAGTCGAGTACCACAAAGGGAAGCAGCCACAAGGAAGTCGAAGCTACTACAACAACAAATATCAAGGGAGACCAAGTCGTCCTCCCACTTGTTACATTTGTGGGGAGGAGCACTTGACCAGGGATTGCCCAAAGCGGGAGAAGTTGAATGCCCTCATCACCAAACTAAATGATGACAAGCARAGTGATGGGGAACAGAGTAGCCAGGCGCCAAGAGTGGACTACCTCGAAGTGATGAAGAAGGGGGYTACCTCGAAGCAKCCCGCCTCAGTCAAGAGAGGACTGAGGTACGTTGATATAAGCCTCGGCGGGAGGCCGACTAGGGCCCTAGTTGACATAGGGGTCACTCACAACTTCATATCCATTGCAGAGGCCAACAGACTTAATTTGGCCATCTCYAGAGAGCCAAGCTGGCTCAAAGCAGTTAACACAGGCCAAACCTACTGAAGACATGGCTCGCCAAGTCAGACTACAACTTGGCACCTAGGATGGGAATATTGACCTCTCCGTTGTTCACATGGATGATTCCGACGTTGTCCTTGGAATGGACTTCATGATACAGGCAAAAGCGACACCGGTGCCTCACCTTGATACTTTCATGATCTTGGACGAGCAGTCACCCTGCATAGTCAACATGATCGCCACAGCCCGTACTAAGAAGAAGCAAGTATCAGCCTTGCAACTCCAACACCAACCTCAACAACAAGCGTTGGCAAAGAGATCTACAACAGCCACCACCATTGCAACTAGAAGTGATCGTGACAACTCCAAGAAGAAGTCAATGCCAGTACTGCCACAGCACCAACAACAGCAGCAGAAGTCGTCTCTGCAGCACGGGGAGAGCAAGTGTTGTATCCAACTTCGCCCACATCTACTACCACAACCACCGGAGAGAGCAAGTCCCACCCAAGCCATTTAGGTACCATTTTCTCACCATTCCTCAGACCAAACCACGTAGTAGCCCTGTGAGTAATCACCCTTGGGGAAAAATTCATGGAAACCAATATCCCAACAATCCAAAATATCATTTTGACCCATCCTTGGCCATAACTTTTCCTACCACCAAAGTGGAACATCTAAATTCCTACCTTGACGCAGCCAAGCAGGGACTCAACTTAATAACTAGCCATAGGTTTTACTACCATCATGATCATCTAAAAACCATCCACCCAGCCTCCTATCCGGGCCTTGGAAGAAACCCTGTTCATGGAGCAGTTGAAAAACCTTCCTTCACCAACAAGAAGTTCAAGCCGCAAGCCGAAGTTGGTCTTCGAGGACAAAGACAGAATTGAGTGAGAGATAATGTCACAAGTGACCATTTTGCCGCGCCTTCAAGTGCCATCACCACACCCACAACCTACCATCCAAGTGTCCAAGTGTGTGTCTTGGATGGGACATTGCATGTATTTTGTATGGGGGGATTGCCAATGACATTATTGTAATTCCATAGTATGATTTTTCACATTTTTTTATGTGTCCTTATATCATTTCYCCAAAAGTTTAACGTACTCTTTGAGAGGAGGTAAATAGTCGAGTGAATCAATAGCATGTAAAAGTTAAGCACAAGATCCCCTTGACACTAAACTGTGTTTGTACTTGTCATCTATTAATGCAATACAAATAGCCTTTTGCTAATTCGCATGCCATCTTGTTGCCTTTTTGTGTGTATTTGCTTTGTTGCTTAGGCTTACTCGCCCCATTTGAGTGCCGCACGGGGCTTCAACGATTATCCCCGTGACATAGGCATTTATTCTGGAACAAAGAGTACAAATCTTTGACGCGGATTTTTCATACAACACTATGAGTCATGACAGACGCAGTCTAGTGGATTTTCTCATATAATGGACGCAATCTAATGGGGGGGGGACCAGGCAGATGTTGCTAATTCCTTCGCTGCTAAAACGCAGGCATTGCTCATTTGTTTATATTTTCCTCCCCCACCTTCACTCTACCACACGAGCTCCGCTGATCTGTACCGTATGGTGCCATCAAAACAAACAGGCGTTCTTCGTCCCTTCACGTGCACAGTAGTTTCTTTACTAATGTGGGTGTAAATCAGTGGCTTGTTGCCAAAGCCGTCACCAAGAGGCCGAGCACCAGAAATGGTTGTGCACTAGCCTGCAAAATCCAACCCAGAATCGAACTTAAGCACTCTACAAATTCTACTTTGAGACTTCCAAGTTACAGTTTAACATGGCTCAAGAGTACCCATCTTGAACCAGTTTACTGTCTGCCAGCTTTAAACTGTAGCTGTTATTAAAGTCATAAATAACTAATGAGGTTTTGTCCAAATCGTCGAACTCCCCTGTAATTAATTACAGGGATCTCCTGCTAGGTTGACATGTGCTTGGTGCTTACAGGAGATGCCTGTAATCATGGCTATAGCGATAGTTACACAAGACACATATAACCAATTCAAACTCTTCTCAGAAGTGCACTCAAACGATTGCAATCAATGGATTTTCAGACACTATGCGTATAAAGAGATTTCAATCACAAAATTGAATGCATCCTGGACTGACAAGTAAGTGGAAGTAAGATTTCACCTGATATTTGACATCGTACTTGATTGGATCCTTCAGAAAATATTGAAACTGCAAAAGCATTAATAGAAGCATTACTGCAAAGAGAGCCACATTGCGTATCAAGAGAAGAAAAGTGAAAAAGAAATAAAAATAAATGCATTGTGCCACTGTTATCCTTAAATGTGATCAGCAACAGTATATTACTTATTCAGTTATTCTCACAAAGAAACACAATGTGGAACATAGTTGTCAAGGCATCGCCTAGGTGACTAGCGCCCTTAGCTGGGTGCCTCGCTCAAACGCCTTGACTTTTAGCAACTAGATGCCCTTTTAGGTGACTAGGCGCCCGCCTAGGCAACAAAAATGACAAGGTGGACGCCTTTTATAATATCATTTATATTGTTGTATCTTATTAATGTTTTATTATTGAAATTTAAAAGATCAAAGGGATTTGAGGAGAGAAAAAGAAAGAAAGAAAGAATATAACTATAAAGAGGTTTTTTTTTTCTATTCTCTCCCTCTCTAATTAAATAAAACAGAAACTCCATCCTTGTTTTTCTATTTTACTTTCCATCTTGAATATTTATCATATAAAGTTAATAACCTTATTTAGCTGCTAATTGATATGAAACTGCTCTTTTAAATACTTATTATAGTAATAATATTTTTGAAAATAATGAAATTAGTTTATGTAAAAGATTTTTATCTTTTAGATGTGATGATTTGCCACATTTTCAGAGGGAATTTAATGTTCTTATTGAAGAGAATTTCCGTTTTTTCAATTAATATAATGCTGAATGGTATATAAAACTAGGGAACTAGCCAAAAGTTAGTTTTTTATATTATAAATTTTTATCGCCTAGGCGACTAGGCACCCCAGTGTTGTCCAGAATCATCTAGGCACCTTGAAAACTATGAATTGGACTTCGATACGATTACTCCAAATCCCCACCAAAGTACAGCTTTTCCTATTTAATTTTATATACATACATACGCTTTGGTTGATGAGTAAGTTTCCTCAACAAACAGAAAACAAGAAATTATTAGGGAAAATCTTCTACAAGGACAAAGAAACCTATGATGTTCAGTGCTAGGCATTATACTCTTCTCTTTTTCCAATAACATTAATTTGCATAAATTTTCCAAAGCTGTCTCTACTTGGCTATTTCTATATAAAAAAAAAAGGCAGCCCAGTGCACGAGGCTCCCACCATTGTGGGGTCTGGGGAGGGACAGGTGTACGCAGCCTTATCCTGCACATACAGAGAGGCTATTTCCAAGATTTGAACCCTGATCACCCAGGTCGTAATGGAGGAACCCAACCATTACACCAAGGCCCACTCTCCTATTTGACTATTTCTATGGGAAAGAAAATTAAGTTTTGGCAATAAAAGAGCAAAAATGCAACTAAAATTTTGCAGTTTGAAAAAATTTACACCACTTTGCCAAAAGAGAAAAAAAAATAATAATCTGTTTGCCATGCTCTATTTAAAGAATTTGGTTATTACATAAAAAAGAAGGTTCAGGATCATTCCTAACACATGACCGTTTTTCTTGACAAGTTTGGAACACATTCATAACATATTACCAGCTGATCTTAGGATGAATGTCTATCTTTCAAAACGATCCATGTATATGATCATTTCAGTTTTCAAAATAGGCCTATGCTGTTGAAAGTAAATACTCAGCTAGATAATAACAAAGATTGAAAGTTGAAGAACATAATAGGCTATTTGTTAACCACCTAAAAAGCTGCATATCCACAAAAACAGCCTGAGGCACTCAATTGAACATTGTATTGCCTAGCCAAAAAGATATCTCTTATCATAAACAAAGATTATGCAAAATTGTCTCTCAGCAATTATATTCAAGTAATGGAACCATATAAACTTATGCGAACATCCTTTACAGCCTTACCTGAAAAACCACTTGTGGAATTACCAAAGCAAGCAATGCAAGTGCATAATATGATTTTCCAGACCCTAGCAGATAACCTGCAGAAACCATCGATCCATTATTGTACCAGTACGCATGCTATGATAAAAATGGAAGAAGCAATCACTTATTCCATGAATCTTACAACTCTCTCAATATTTCCCAGCCATATATGCATATCTATCTAATGCTCAAAGCAGAAAAGACAGAATATACTGAAGATGTAAATAATAAATTGCAACAGTAAATATCTGATCTTCTATTGGGTACCATTAACTCTAATGAGTGCTAGAATCCTATCATGACAATATCAGTAAGTGTAAATTTAAGCATACGTACAAGGTGTATAATACAGATAACAGAATATATGATCCAGAAAGGGTTCTGGCAGTTTATCATGTCAAAAAAATAACAATTATGAGAGTACATTTATTAGAAAGTGGAAGAAGACATCAAGAAGCACCATTGGGTTGGTCAAGTTTTGGCAGTGTTAGTTAAAGACATCTCTACACCATTACGTGTTCCTAAGAAGGTATCTGGTGTGCTAGCTGCGAGTAGTTATCTCCATCTCATCACACACACGTACACATAGCATTCCCAATACCAAAATATTTGGGGATACAAATCCATAGTTAAATATGTTTACCTGCTACATCAAACACGTGTTCAACCATAAAAGGATTTATGCCTAACGTGGCACTTGCATGCTACTTTTTGAAAAAGAAAGACATCTCTCAACAGCAGAATATTTAAGTGGGCTGTAGCCAACATCAACAGAGAATATATTCCTTTATGAAATCTTTCAAGAGGAATAAATCTAACATACCAGCAACAGATATCTGAGTAATATCAATGGCACCAACACAGATCCATTTAGCAGTATCAACACCAAAGGCCACCGGAAGCGACTGYTTCAAACAGCATGAGCAGATAAAGCTTGCACCAAATGCTTTTGGAAAAATTGGTGACCCAAAGAAAGATTTTCAGTTACAAAAAAAAAAAAAAAGATACCTGTAGACCCAGTACCCTATCTCCTTCAATACTTTTAAAATCATTTACAATGGCAATACCCAGCTGGTATATGAAGAAGAAAGTTAAAACATGTCAGATCACAGGAGGTTTGATGCTAGACAACATATATGTCTAAGATAAGAGCATACTCCAGCTATGCTGTACAAGAGCGTAAGCACAATTATGTCAGGTGTAAGTGTCCCAAATAAAGCTTGACCGGCCCACCTGTGGATTCATGAATTAAAAAAAATAAAAACAAAAATATTTTAAGGAAAAATGAATCAGAAGGGAGGAACACACAGTACCTAGCAGGTTGACCATAAAAATAGCTTGTTAATGACATAATGGAAAACCAATTGCAAGAGGATCTATTTCATCAGATGAGGTTCCTACCTCCATCCATATAGTATAGATCTCTTATTCCACAAATCCTAACTCGTGATAACCATGAAATTTAGAAGTTACGTAATAATGGAGCTTTTAGATGGGAAACAGGATAGTAGATCAGGGCCCTTTGTATGTCCCTTGACACCAGACAGCCATCACAACTTAGCTGATTGTAGCCAGGATTTCCTCTTACAAGGTTATGTACAAATAAATAATATGGAGTCACCAAGTAAAGTACTGGATTATACAACCAGTGGCTTTTCAAAATTCTTCACTATCAATTTTTCCAGATGATAGAAAAGATATCATACCATGGCAAACTGATATAGCTTGCTCCAAGAGCAAAGTTTCCTATCCATCCATTCTGTTTCAGCTGCAATACATTAGAAAAGAAGTTATGCATGCAGCAGCTCTCTCGAACTACTAACAAACTAGAATGGTCTTATAACAATAACATGGACAGAATTGCATTACCTTTAGAGGTGGAGCAGAATATATATATGACAACAAGGATCCACCCAGAGCAAGGTAAAAGACTACAGGAAAGTTATGCCCTGCCTAAATGGAGATGAAAAATTAGGAGTTGAAATTCATCTTAATAACTATTGGGATAAGTACCACGTATTTAGTAAACCTACCCACACATCTAATAGACCAGCCAAGCCAAGCCCTCCTAAGAGCAGCACCCAGATCTGGGTAATAACCTGAAACAACAACATCTGTAAGAAACAAAGTCTTTTATTTTATTTTATTTTATGATGAGTCTGAAACGTTTATTCCATATTCTTATTTGATATCTTCAATAGGGCTGCAGGTCAGGTTGCCCAACTTGAAGAATTTCAACTGCATCAAGTTTAGGTTACGGTTTGGACCCATGGAAAATTTAACAAATTCCCAACCCAAGTTGCACCTTTAATCCTCAATGTCAACATTGCAGCAGATTCAATTGACTAATACCATAACTACACATCTTCCCTTTGGGTTTTTGTCATTTTTGGACTTCTTAAGCTTATTTAACTTATCAGAGAAAAGAAGAAATAAAATAAAGTCCTGCATTGCTTTTCATATTTCCCAAAAAWTTGGTATAGATCTACTACACTCCTATTTATCACCAAAGAAGAACGGTGCTAATTGATGCTAGGTATGATCTTTAGGGAAAAAAGATATACAGGAAGGAGGCAAAAGCAAATGCAGCTATAGGCACTAGGGAAAAGAAAGTGTGGAACGTGCAACTTTGAGTTTAGTGACAGTGACTGGTGTAAGTCTGTGGGGTTAGGCACTGTGGTGATCTGCCTAAAAGACGACAGATGGCACAAGGGAGGTTAAGGAATGCTGAGAGGGGTTGCCAAAGGGGTTTCAGATCTCATCTGAAATCTGAAAGGGCAAGGGAGTCTATAGAGAATGAAGGAAGTCCTCACAAGGACTCACAAAGACTAAGAGGCAAAAGGTGTGGATCTCCTCAGGAGATCCTTATTTATAGATCTTTTGGAGAAACTTTCCTTTTCTAGAAAGTTCCTTTTTGAGCTTGTTACAAAGTTGTTCAGTTCACGCCATCTGAGTTTCACCACGTGTCCACGTGGTTACCCCAGTACTTGGGCTCCCACCTTTTCCTGACGTGCGCATGTGAGGATGTGAGTTGCTACAGCTCTACCTAAGTCCTTAATGGGGGCGTGATGAGGGTTGAGTGCAAATGTACAATGTAGTTGGATATCGATTTATATACGTGTGATGAGCGTGATGGGTATATATTCCGTTAAATGGTTTAACATGTTAATGCGGTGTTATGTGCACAGTTTTCATCGCGTCGTGATCTGCATGTTGTAATTGATCACATTCGTGCTGCTATGTCGTCTCATCACATTGTTTGCGGTATGCAATGACTAATCACATGGTCTTACAACTGGAGATTATATCATACTAGCAGGGACACGTGCGATGCACGGGATTTGTTAAGGGAAAGCTAAGCAATAGAAACACATAAGATTATACAATTGTCTTATATTTTCAATTTTTTAAATAATTACTAATTACTTATATTTTGGGTTCAACTATGATATGGAAAAGATATGATATCTGAAATTTTTTGACCAATCAATTGGTATCATAAACATGGTAGCCAATCAGGTGTTATTTATCAAAATTCATGGGTGGATTTTGATTGGTCAGAACTCTTCCGATACCATATCTTTCCCACATCATAGATTTTCCCTTATATTTTATATGCTACTTTTAATATTTTTTTTATAATACAAAAATTACAATAATTAATTTCAGCTAGGGTTGTTCATCAAACTAATGAACCCGACCAGCTCAACCCGAGTTGGTCGGTTTCTAGTATTTTCGATCGGCTTTGGTTAATCAATTTCCAAACCCAACCAGGTTGGATCAGTTTCACTTTGGCCATTTGTAAATCGACCAAAATCGAATGGCCTGACCATAGAAATATATATATATATATATATTAATATTTTTATTTTTTATATAATTTTTAAATATGGGAAAGTGGAAAAGTTTCCATATTTCTTAGTCTAAAATATTTTATATCATAAATTTAATTTTTAAGTTTATTTTTTAATAATGCCATTGTAATTTTTTTTAATTTAAATTTAATTTTTTAAGTTTAAATCTTTTGAACTGACCAACCAAACCAAAAATTGGCCCAAACAGGTACAACCCGAGTTGGTGATTTTCACTAATGGTCAGTCGGTTTCGAGTGACCAACTCCCCAACCCAACCAGGTTGCTTTGGTTGGTCAAACAGCCTACAACCAAACCGAACCAACCCATGAACACTCCTAATTTCAACTAAATTAATAGTCTAATCTCTAATAAATAACAATAGCTTAATGTCCAATAATTATTGAAAATTTATAGCAAAAATACATAATTATTGAAAATGTATTGATAATGAAAATACAATAAATGAATAATGAAAATAATAAATACAATAGTTACAAAATTAAAATAAATACTAAAAATATATTAAATTAATCAATAAATAGTGTAATATCAAATAATAGTTTAATCTTTAATGAATATTAATTAATAAATTATTACAAAGATACAATAACTACAATAAATTAAATTTAGAAAGTTAAATAACAATAGTTTAATCTCTAATAACTATTGAAATTTTTTTGTTAAATAACAAAACAAAAAATAGATTTATACATAATTGATAAAATTATATTTATCACAAAAAAACAAAAACTAATTATTGAAAATACAATAAATATTAATTTTTTTAGTATATTAAAATACATGTAATAAATATAGATTAAGATTTAAATTATTTTTAATAAATATTAATTTTTTTGAAATTTATTTTCTAGAATTATTAATTGATATAAGTGAAATTAGTTATTTATTATATTATTTAGTTATTTAAATAATATCATTATTTAAATATTAAAATATAAATTATTTATTGAATTTATTAATCTGGAAAATTATAATTTATGATATTATTACATAATTTCGTTATTAATTTTTTAAAATATTAAATTTTATTAATTTGAATATTATGTTATCATTATTTTTCTAGTTTTAAGATTTTTTAATTTATTACATAATTTCATTATTTTAACTATTTAAATCTAGTTATTTTAAATATTTTGTTAGTTAAAATATTTAGTTATTTAAATAATTTATAAAATATTTAAATTTTTTATTTGAAATTTATTTATTTTAAAGTTATTACATAATATTAAATGTTTTGTTATATAATTATTTATCTATTTTTGATATTTTGTTATTTAAGATATTTATTTATTGTGATATTTAAATAATATTTTACTTTTTAATGTTAAATTTTTATTATTTAAATAACACTTAAATTGAATAATCCGGAAAACCATAATCTATATTGTTAGTACATAATTTCACGATGAATTTTGTAAAAATATAAAATTATTAATAATATGAATATTATTAAATCTATTATAATTATTTTTTTGTGTTTTTAATAAATATTTTAAAGTTATTATATAATTCTGTTAGAATATTTAAATAATTTTTATAATTTTTAATTCAAAATTTAGATAGAAATAGATAAGAAGTGGGGGAGAGGATAAATAGGAATTAAAGATAATTTAGGAGAAAGTGGGGGAGGTAGTTTAGGAGAAATTTTAAGAGAGGATACTATTTAGGTTATTGGGAACGTGTGGTAGGGAGAGAGAGAGAGAGAGAGAGAGAGAGAGAGAGATTTTAGGTAATTTTTGATGGGGAAGGAGAGCATCTCATTGGTTGTTTAAAAAATGACATGGAATAAAAAAAATAAAAAATTCAAAAAAAGGATAAAATTTCTAGACTGCTGTGTTTTAGTGTGTGTGTGTGTGCGTGTGCGTGTACATTAGCATTATAACACACATGAAACAGGTCATAAGTATGAAAATTGAAACATTTGCAAACAAGCAAAGTTCTTGCCTCCTTACAAAAACAAGTCAAACAAGTCGGAAGGCATAAGTCTTATAACAACTAATTAATCAATTAAATACCAACCTCACTCTCAGAAATTGCTCCAGAAGGAATTGGACGATAAGGTTCATTAATTGCATCAATCTCTCGATCATACCAATCATTAATTGTCTACAGAAGTGAAAAAGCAAACATGAACTAGTGCTATTGGTAAGCTTAGCCTTGATTTGGATTTATGAACCAGTCAAGAAAAAAAAAAAACAAAATTTGCATTCATGAGAAAAGCTACCTGTGTGTATCCAGTGAGACATGGAGCAGACATTATCATGCAAACAATTGACTTAGAAACATCTTCCAAGTTCCAGTGGAAGTTTCCTGTGATGTTAAAAAATATGTGTACCACAAATGTCTGATGAACTCAAAAGGCATTAGAATTATTTCTTTTAAATATGTATCAGGAGGACAACAAAATAAGATCCAATAAATATGTCATGACTCATGCAGTTAATTCACTTGATCTGCAATCCTATATTCAACAGCATACATCTTGATGTCAAATCATCCATTAATGCTGAAACCAGATTAGTATGCATGGAAATTTTTGGATAATATTAGATGTAGAATTTAATGTTGTTTTGGTCCAAAAAACTTTATTACACTGCTTGAGCACTTTCTACATGCAGCAGAAAGAAAATGCAAATGAACTCTGCTGCAGATGTCCCAGGTTCCACTTTTAACATGTAAAAAGAATGCAGTGTGCCCAATTTGCTCTCAAATTCATAAGGTAGCAGTAGGAATATAATATTGGATTTTCAAAAGACATCCTGCAAAGAAAAGCACCATAAGAGCATCAACCTTGACCATGTAGTGATGATGTCAACATGACAACATGTCAATCAGAAAAGCATTAATTAAGATTCTCATGTCAGCATTTTGGGTATGTGTATGTATGTTTATGCTGTATGTATGTGTTTTTGTTTTTCCAGGTGCAACTTTATAACTTTCTTCAATAAAACCTGGTAATAGTAGATAAGTGTGATCATGTTTTAGAAGGTGTACGTTAGAGTTGATTAATCGTGTTATTTAATGGTTGGCATTAATCAGCTTAAAGTTGATGAATGCTGGGCATTGGTGCATTAAAAGAAATAGAAAATAAGGATATAGCATCATAGTATTTATGACACAACTCTTATAATTACTGTAGAATAAAAAGAATTATTTAACAGGTATTTTCCCAAAAATGTTTATTCTTTAAATGAAGAAGGTTGTGAACTCCACTGCCAACAAATGTTTGCAAAAGAAAATTGTTAAAACAAAAAAGAAAGATAAAGAATCAATATTGCAAACCGCCAGACCCCATAAATCTGTCAGGCCTTATTAGAAAAATTACTAATGTGAAATAGAACCTCGACAGTCTTAAAGAAACAAGTTTATCAAATATGATAAACAAGGAGTTAACCTTTTAAAAAAGAAAACGAATTAATGCTGATAAAGAAAGTTATTTATGTTTTGGTCTTAGAGATCCTTACTTTGGGTTAATGTATAAATATTATCTCTCTCACTGGGGGCGCCAGATGTACCTTTAAAGCACTAAAATTACAAAAAATTAATGAAAATAACATACAGCTTAAATAACACCACTTATTGTGTACTAAAAGAGAATTAGTATCTTTTGGGACTTTGTGATGTTATTAAAATAAAGATTAGATAACAATGACATCCATTTCCCTAAGAATAATGAAGGATGACCCCTTCAATGCAAGTTTTAATATTCAAGATAGTAGGCAGGGCTTTCCCAAGAACTAGAGTATCTAAGCATAAAAGTAGGAGCTAAGAAGGTGAGCAATTGGTCAGAAGCACATACAAACAAGAGAGAGGGGAGGAAGGAAGTAGCAAGCTGCTCCAGGTATCCAGTTAAATGTAAAGAATGAAAGCTATGTATTACAAAGAGACAGATGAGATGTCAAGGAAAAACTCAAAAGACAGTTAAAATCAAAGAGAATGAAGGATTTAATCCAGTCACAGATTCAGTAGCCCTTTCTTGAACCCTCATCAGTCATGAGTCATTTGACAGCTGTAACATACTTTGGCCATCAAGAAGCTCTAGGAATGACATCCAAAAAGAGAATAAAAAAAGTAATCAATAGCATTACATAAGATACTGGCAAGACAAATAACCTACTTATGGCCTTCTAAAGCAGATCTTTGAACATGGTATTAGAAAGGCAGTTAGGTAAGTGTATGACCATGATGGGCTTTCAACCCAGGAAGAATCTTTCAGGACAGGAGAGAACTCACTTCAATTGTGTCCACCCTATCCTATTTTTGCTAGATTTCTTTTCCCATCAATATCAACTAGAAAGAGGCTATTGCTTCATGTAATGGTGGAATCTCACACTGACAAATGTGAGAAGATAGGGATGGCACAATCTGAGATCTCAGATTGGCCCTCGGGTGTAGTGCTAGCTCTATACCATCTAAGTACTCTAGTATTTCTCTTGGAATCTGGTGCATTTCTAAATTTGTATCATCATATGGAAAAAAGTATCTGCCAGAAGGAGGTAAAGTTACAGTAATCCACAGCACTTTGGCAAATCTACAAACTTATTTAATAATATCTCTTTTCCAAACACCAGTAGAGGTGGCTAACAAATTGAAGAAGATCCAAATAGATTTCTCATGGCAAGGTTAGAGAGACGAATTTAAATCTCATTTAGTGGAGTAGGAGAAAACATCCCCCTAAAGCTTATGGTGGCTAGGTTTTAAGACATCTGAAGGTAGTTAATAGTTCCTTGAGATAGACATGTCAATTCAGCAAGGAGCTGGAGAGTTTGCAGGGGATAATTCTTGCTAGGGGTGCAACTTGGGCGGGCCCAGCCCGAGTCCAAACCGGCCCAACCCGGAATTTTACACGGGCTGGGCTTGGATTTTTGGTCTTCGGGCTGGGCTCGGGCCCAAGAAGTCGGGTTTTTTTATTTTTTGGGCCAGGCTCGGGCCTAGCCCTTAGGTAGCCCCAACCAGCCCAAGCCCGGCCCTATTATATACATTTATACATACATGTGTGTATATATATATAAATGTTGCATACATATTTACATATATATACATACATATTTGTATATATATTTTGCATAAATATTTACATACATACATACATAAATATATGTATATATATTTACATAAATACATTTATATATGTATAATTTTAGAGTGGGTTCATTGACCAACCTGAGCCCAGCCCGGGCCCGAACCCAACCCAAGTGCATCAAGTTACAGGGCAGGCTGGGCTCGGGTTGGGAAAATCGGGCTTGACCTCGGGCTCGGGCCTTAAGCCCAAATTTTTGGGTCGGGCCTGGGTTGACCATAAACCCGGCCCAACTTGCACCCCTAATTATTGCCTCTAACTACAGAATCACAAATTTAGGATGGGATGCTAGTGAAGTTCTTACCTCCTACATGTGCAGCCTTTCAAAGGAAACAGAAAAATCCTATACATCTTTTGTCTTAAGAACTATAGGTGATAGTGCCAAAAACAATTTTGGATGGACATATAGTGCAAGAAGAGACCTCTTACGGACTCTACTTGGGGATGATGAAGATACAATCACCTTAGTACAGCTGTACAGGAATTCTTTGAGATAAACAGCCAACAAATTGTTTAAAATCCAAGACTACACCAGTATTGTATAATTGCAAGATTGTGAGGACATGGATGTGATGTGGAAGAAATTTGAGGGCCACCCTCCCAATGTGAATCAACCCAATGTAAGGAAATGGAAAGAGGACACTTCAGATTAGTTCACAGTTCTTCCCCTGGAAAATCTATGTTATTCCCTATTCCCTTGGTTTTACAACATGGGTATCCAAATACAATTTCTCCCCCCAAGTTTCAAAATTTCAAATCTACAGCAACAGTCAGAACTCAGAAGATTAATAATTTAATACCTCATTTGCTCCATAATTTAGTACAGTTTATTATAATTGTATTTGCATCATTTGTGTAAAATATGGCCAACAAATGATTAATTGGTTCCACAATGACATAGAATCTTGTTCTCCATCTTATGGAGTACATGGGAAATAGACAATAGATTGTTCTGGCACATTGCATATTAATGGGGAACTAAATATATTATTCACCATTAGGATTTTACCTTGGTGGAGTTCAAATCTGTAGTTTATAGTATTTATAAGAGTTCATTATGGAAGCTTTAGCTTTGTACCTCTCTGAACACTGCTTTAACTCATCTGGAAATTCAGGTCCATCAAAAAAAAAAAGTGATGATTAACAAGTGAATCTGTGATTACTTATCATGTTTTCTTAGATACTTCAGGAGAAATGCACCACAAAGAAAGAAACACACGCACGAGATATGAACTTCTTATTGGTGACAATAATAGCAGCAACAATATTAACCACAAAGCTGAAAAGTAAAACCAATATTTCTGTCAATATCTCATAATCATGGATGATGATGATCTCATTCTCCTTTTCACCCACGTCAACAGAATTATTTATTGTCCTTTCTCTTTCTTTTCTTTCTCTTGGGGGGTATTAAACCATGAATAGTGACATAAGAACAACTAGTGTTGTATAGAAATGGCATCTGCCCCTTTCTAACATTATTCTTTTTCAGGTTACCAATTCAAGACAAGGAGAAAGCAGGTTATCATCCATGGTTTATGCAAGGAGAACTCCACAGTCTGAGTATCTGGACTCCAGAAGCATGGTGCATGTCATGCAGACAGAGGTCAGGATCCAACATTTAATAAAACCAACCTAAAAGATCTAGAAGGACAAAGAAGGAATCGTTTTCCATTTACTTTTACTCTGTTACTTTGGGGGAGAAAGAAAAACATAAATGTTTATGTAGCAGAGAAAATCTATACAAACAGTAAATGAGTGCCCAAGCCAATTGCTCCAAATGTCATGTCCACATTTTGTGCCTAAAGACCAATTTTTTGTCTTCAAGAACACTGGTTGAGGGCATTCCCTTCCTATAATACCAATGTACTGACAAGCAAGGGTAAAAAAACCAAGGTGTATAAACCCCTCATTTCACAAGAAAGAAAGGAGGATACCAGAGGCAGCAGCTCCACAGACCACCCCCCAAATCAATGGAGCCCAAGTGACAGGCTTTGTGAGTTGAAGTCGGATCTTCCATTTATTCTGCACATTAGGAACCACAAAATCACAACCAGTCTAGCCTCCGATTGCAAGTAATTTGTCGGTAAGTTTGCAAGGAAACAAAGAAATGCATTTCACAAGGGAGATGGCATTACAAGAAGAAACTCGGACATACATGCCATAGCAAGTTAGGGACTTAGTTGTATCAGAAGCAAGGTAGAACTGAAACAAACAAATTGTTTTCAGCCTAGAAGTTACTTGAACAATTTCATTTTGGATTATGAATTAGTGCTTTCTGTTATGTAGATGTATCGTATTTTAAGAGTGAAATATACACTGTTAAGGAGACTAGTTGGAGTTCTACTTGCAGTTGCAGCCAAGAAACACTCAATCTAGGTACTGATGGGACAGAGACAAAGGCAAAAAAGTTCATACATGGGTATTTGGGGTATTTTGTGTGTGTGTGTGTTTGAATTAGGGTTTATGAAAGAAAATCTTTATTCTTTCTTCATGAACTTGTTGGAGAGTATAGTTGTAATTCCAGATGAGATCGTAGTGAATTTTCAGAGGTGTTCATCCATGGACATAGACAGCCATTGCTGAACCGTTTTAAAGCTTGTCTCCATGAATGTGCTTTCTCGCATGCATGGCTCTATTCTACTATTACTTTTATGCTTTCAAATCCTGAAGAGAATAATTTAATTCATATGGCTGTTGAGCGCTCCACATAACTGTGAGCATAAGACTCATCACATAATATTGATAAAAAATATGGTCTCTATTATAGAAACTAACAAAGAGATTGTTTTCTCGCTATAAAACAGCAGGACACAAGAGGGTCGTGTAAAATAAACAAAAACATTTAGTTTTYAGGATCACTTTTAGCTTTCCTCATCCATAATTCTCATTATCACGCTTTTCTTGGGGATATAAGAATTATCCTTTAGCTCAGCAATGTACCATTCAATTGTTTTTTAGCCTTTTGACTTTTATCATACAAATACATTATAGATATAGAAGTTCAATTGGAAACATCAACCAGTCCTACTGAAATTTATAAAATACGAAATTATAAGGAAAGTGACGCCAAAGACTCACTGTTTCTTGTGCTGCTCCCTTAATGCCAAGGAGCTGGTTGATGCTCGAACCATTACCCGCCGGCGCCTTATCCGGCGCCTGAGGTTTCACTGCCGTGCATCGGAACACCAAAAATTTAAACCCCACGATTCTATGCTACCTTTAAGCTTTAAATGAGAAACCAGGGAAGGAAAAAAATGAAATTCGAGTGCATATCAAAACAAAATTAGATAAAATAATAGTAAGAGAAAAGTTTACAGAACCTTTGTTGGTCTCAATTTCTGCTGCTCTTACTGTAAGTCTCTGCCCTGAGAAAGATATTTGTACATAAGCTAGTGAGCGAAAAGGAAGGAAAATGCTACGAAATGAAATTTGGTAGGAGTCACTTGGGAAAGAAACAGTAGTCGGTGAGACGAGCCTAGAGGTACGAAGACGGTCAGCCTTACTGTATGATAGTCTCATTGAAGATACAGTGCCCACCACGATCGCCATTTCCGATAAAAGCGAAGCTGTAGTTGAGATTTTCCTAGAGAAGTGAGGAAGAGAGTACGGGGGGGAGAGGCAAGAGGGAGGCTCCTGGTTTTTGGTGGAGCGGTGTGTTAGCGTAAAATATTAAGCAGTTACCTGCGGAATGTGTTGGATAGATAGGACCAGATCCGGTCTGACACAAAACACCGCGCTATTGGATTGAAAATTTGGCCACGTTTGRTTTGATAGAAAACAATAGAGAAACATAATTGAGAGATTTGTCTTAATAAATGCAATTCGATGGGTGAAATGAATTTACCAAAACAAGATGGACGAGATGGATCCCATATTCCCATCTGATGAGACCCTCCATGTCCTAGATCTTATTGGTTCTGGGCCTTCTGGCATTGAGAATCTTACAGGTGAGTAGAGTTATAAATTGAGTTGTGCTGCTTGTGGTCTGGCACCACGGTACGTTGGTAGAGCCTTAAATTGGGTTATGCTGCTCGTGGCTGAATCCGGTGGCATATTTAGCACAGTATGTTGGGATGCGCTATATTTTATCAGCTTACAAATGGCCAAAAAATTTATTTTTGCAAAAATTGTGAATTATCCACCTCACAAATTTTTATTTATTTTTTAATTTATTTTATAAAACACCCACTTATGATACAATCATACAATAACCTCCTTGTATGAATCAATAATTTGCCTTCTTGAAATTTAGTGAATTCCTCCAAACATGATAAAAAAGAGACACCCTTCTGTAAAATGTAATGATAAATATGATCAACCCATCATGGGTTTAGGCTTAAACCATTATAAAATGTATTAAAAAAACGCTATAAAATGAATTGCTGGATTAATTACTTATATATACCCTGAACTTAAAATCAATTTATACATACATTGTTGATCAGCCCCACATAACATAAATAGGATCCTATCATTGCACCGTTTAGAATTGTTAACATCTCGCTGCAAAAAACTTTTGTAATACCAAAGTTGCACGGTTGCACCTAAATGTTCAAAACAATGGGCAAATCATTTCCTCTCCCTTCATCGTCCCCAAATAAACCAATTCGGCAACCCTTATTTTCTCTCTCTCCCTCCCTCCATCCTATTTTCTTCCCCACTGAAGTGCACCATTTCTAATCTATTTGGTTGGTTGCAAGAGAAGCAACGTAGGGTGGTTTGGGTCGCAAGAAGGAAATATAAGCTTCATTTGGAAGGAGTACAAATATAGATATGTAGAGTGTAAAACCTTAAATTTTTTATATTATTTTATATGTATCTATATTGTATATATTTGTATTTATGCTCTTTTGAAACTGAGTCATGCAAACAAAAGCTATGAGAATAAACGAATGAGGCAACATAATTTTTAATATTGCTTTTTTAGTTTTTAATATCAAACCCTTTCTAAACAAACTAGCCCAAATTCATAATATTGCTTTTTTAGTTTTTAATATCAAACCCTTTCGAACTAGCCCCAAAATTTTTTTATTAGACCCATGTGATTCCTCATTAAAAAGCAATATCATAATTTTTTGGAAACCCGACAAAGCTTTGGGAACAAACAAATGTAAAGATATCGATTCTTATCTACCGATAAGAATGTTGGACCTTCTGTAAAAACAAGGGCCAAAGTTGGACCTTCGAAAAAATGTTGAACCTTCTGTGAAAACAAGGGCCAAAGTTCTCTATCTTTCATTGAGCAAGTCTTGAGATCATCTCTACCTTTGAACCGCTCATTGCTGTCTCGGAATCAAGACGTTGCAACTTCTCATCAATTGCGCTATAACTCAAGAAAAGGTGAAAATACTAGAAGTTAGTGCCTGAGTAGCCTTTTGGCCAACTACCCTACCGTTCAACCCTCAACACATAAAATTTTCCTGAGAAGAAGAAGATGATGATCATGATCATGATGATAAGAAAAATTAAAGAAAAATGACATATTTGTCTTTTTATATTGGTTAAATTACAAATAGGTACCTTATATTTTGGGGGTAGTAATAGATAGGTACCTGAAACTTTTAATTCAATACTTGAGCACCCTGAACTATCAAAAATAGACACTTAGCTCAATCTGTTAGTATTCCTTCAATTAAATATTACATAATGCTAAAAATACCATTTTCGTGTATTTTTAAGATTATTCTCAAGTAAATGAATGTCTCCCCATGATGACGTTTTGACATGGACAATAAATAACATATTCAAATTTTTTGAGGATGGCATTCTCTGGTGATGATTTTACTATGTAGAATGATCTAAAAAAATACACAAGAAGGGTATTTTTGACAATATGTAATGTTTAACTGATGGATTATGATTGATGGACGAAAGTGTCTATTTTTGAAAGTTCAGGGTACTTAAATGTAATAATCAAAAGTTCATAGTACCTATTTGTAACTATCTATACTACTTTAAAAGGCACGAATAGCCTCATTAATATTTTTGGATTTTTTTTATGACAAAATTTACCTATCTACATTTAAATTTATTGATAAAAAAGTGAGGGCAAATAGGATAATCGGTTATTAATATTAAATGAGTTGAAAATAGGTAATTTTATGATATTCAATGCCTTCAATTCCCTATCATTAAATCCATCATTMTAATTTATTAACTTGCATTCATGTTCAATGAATCTTATATTTAAGTCATTTTTGTTTCTTCTCATCATTAAGTTCAATTAATTTAATCCATATTTAATAAATTAGTAATTTCAATAACATAAAAGCTTATACTTTTAAAATCTACCTAGAAGAAAAATAGAGTTTTCATCTAGGTGGTGGTAAGAAATTAAACCATTTTGGGTCAAATGGATCAATCCATGCTGCCATAATTAAAGGATAAAATGAAAAAAAATAGAAATTAGAAAAAAAATGGAACATTTTTAACATACATGTTAAACAATAATAAGTATGACAAATGATAATTGTTTTTATTAATGACGGAAATTGAATGTAAAATTTAAAACTAATTGGAAAAAATATTTTCCTATTCTATTTCATTAAATCATATATTTAAGATATATTTTTCTCATCATCAAATTCTTGCAATTAAATTCACAATATTAAATTTAATAGTATAAGAATAAATATTTTGAAAAATAATTTGAAAAYAAAACCATTTTCTTCCCTCCTAGTGGTGGGCAAGCAATTCGATCACTTCGGATCAAGTGGATTAACAAATAATTTCATAATTAAACAATAGAAAATTTTAAAATAAATAGGTATGAAATGTAATAAGTATTTTTATTAATGATAAAAATGGAATGCCAAATATAAAATATACATAGAAATGAAATGATGTCATACAAATACTGAAATTTGTAAAAATAGAAATACAAAGAATAACAAAAATTTTAAAAAATAGATAAAATTTTGGGCACATATCTAATGTTATACATTTATAAAAAATATGATATTAGGTGTATCTCTAATATTGTGCATTCATTATATTGAACAAAAATAAGTATTATACATAAGAAAAAATTCTTTCAATGATGAAAATGTAATACAAAATTTAATGTCAACCTATAAATCAAACCATTTTTTTAGATGGTGGGTTAGTGGTTTGGGTCAAATGATATCATAGACAAACAAAAATTAAGTGGGATAAGTAAAATTATTTATATAATGTAAATGAAATATATAATTTAAATGAAAAATTATAGTTAAAGCAGGTTATAAATTTAAAATTAGGTTGTAGGTTGGTCTAGAAACCAAAAAAACTTTAACAACTAACTTTACATTTCAAATTATAAAAACCCTTCCATTCTCTCCCGCTCTCTCTATCTCTCAATCTCCTTCCCTTCTCTCACAGWCATCTCTTTATCTCCCACTCTCCCAGCTTCGGTATGTAGCCAAATCAAAACATCGATTTATCTCCCCCCCTCTCTCTCTCACACACACATACACACAATCACTTTCATTTTTCTTCACCACTATAATATTTCATTTCCCCTCAATCTCTATTGTTCTCACTTAGTCTTTCTCCCGTTACCTCTCTCATTCTTTTTTTTTTTTCTTGCAAACCTTTATAGTATTAATTAGATTGTATAAAAGAACCAAAGGGACCAACCATTTGTACAATCAAGTTATAAATTTATATCGAGTTGGTGTAAATTTCATAGCCAAGAGTTTATTGTGAACTTATATCGAATTGGTGTAATGATTTCTGAATTATACCAAGTTGGTCTCGTGTTCTTTTATATGGTCTGATTAATACCATATAGGTGTGTAAGAAAAAAAAAAGAACAAGAGAATGAGTGGGAGAGAAACTGAGAGAGAACAATAGAAATTACGAGAGAATGAGAGATTGACCGAGAAAGAGAATGATAGAAATTGAAGGAGAATGATAGGTAGAGAGAGAATGCAATAAATTGATAGAGAGAGAGTGTGTGAGAGATAAACTAAAATCCAATTGAATGAAGTATATCTGTGGCTCAAACATGAGCAATACTCAATAGAGATGGAATTATTCGCCAAAGAAAAATGTATCACTGTATCACCCAAGAAAAGAGAGTTAGAAAGATGGAATAATTTTGTGCCAATTGGTTCCGCAGCCTCCTGCAAGTATACTACTAAGGCTTTAATTTGCAAGGAAGAACAATGTCCGTAAAGAAAGAAATTAATAAAAAAGATTGAACTGTGATAGCAAAAAGATATTATACCTGAAAAACTTGTAACCAATCAACTGATGTGGCGATCAATTGGGTGGGTCTTCAAAATTAACAGGGTTTGATAAATGAAACCCTTCCATTATCATTCTTTCCCGTAGCATAGAACTGTTCTAAAAATATATTAAAAATCTCAAACATGTTAAAATAACATCCAATTTTGAGTTGTAAAGGGGAATTTCCTAAGGGAATTCTTTCCAATTTCACAATCGAATCCAAACGCTGATGATGTATTCATGTGCCTCGCGAAGCATCTTATCTTCACACACCCATTAATTATCAACAATTTTAGGCACGAGACAATTAAAGGAACACCAAAACAAATGGGGAAAAAGAAAATGATGCGCATATGCTTACCTGTCACGACTAATTTTTTTTTATTCTCCCGTAAAGATGGAGAGAGGCCTAAGAAAAATTAGGTCAATGAAGCATGAATTTTCAACTGTACAATTAGAACCCCAAAAAGAATCCTCTCGGCATTTGAAATCATTCTCCCAGTTGCGAGAAATTCCTTAACAACTATGTGAGAGCATTTAGGGGAGGTGATTGCAATCAATGTTCAAAGAATTGGATCGGGCATAGAATCGGATAAGGGAGAGGTTCACAGGTTAGAGGTTCGACCATGATAATGTGGCAAATATATATATACACACACACACTATGGGTCATATAAATACTATATATAATATATTTATAACTTTTAATATACTTAAATATGGTGGATTGATGGTACATTTCTTAATTTTCAAAACAAATGACTAGGTTCAAGCCTTTTAATTTACACTTACTTGAAAATATGTGCATAGCAATGTGTACATTAAAACGCCATTAAATAGCATAGGTAAAGAGGTGGGCTAGTGGTAATTAAAATAAGAGGTATTGGGTTCAAATATTGTTAATAACATTTTAAAATGTCACTTATGTATAGACTTAGGCGGCTTCATGAAACTGGGACTGGTTCAACGGTTTTATAGTTAAACCGGTCGATCGGCTGGTTTTCATCGAGTTTTGAGCAAATCTGATTATTGGGGTGTAACCAAACCGGTCAATGCCCTGTGTTACTGTTCAAYTGGTTCAACCGGCTGGTCTGGTCCAATTTTCTAAACATTGATTGCAATTACCAAACTTTAGGGAATATTTCAGCAATTTACCCTATAAAAATGAGGAAAATAAAAGATTATGTTAGGATTATGGGCATTTTCTTTTCTAGTCATAAATGAAAGTTTGAGAAGCAAAATGCCACTTCCCCCAAAATACAATCTATAATTTGCCCTTTAATTTTAGATGTTAAATTTGGATCTATGACCAATTGATGATGACTCAATTGGTAAGTTCTTCGACTGATTGTTGTAGTGGAGACTTGGGTTCAAATCCCGTTGTCACCACTCACCAAAGTTAGGACCTAAGGAATCAATGAGGTATTGATTGTGAAGAATCAAATGTGGTGGCTTGGTGGATATAAAGTAGGGATGCATGTCAGATGGAAATAGGTAGGCTGGGGTCAATCCTTACCCAACCTGAAGTTTTGGGTTGCCAATACATGGTTTTATTTCATATACTAAAGGGTTGCCATGCGGTAGATAAAACTTGACCAACTTGAAATTGTTACATCTATATGCATATATACATGGATAAAAACATATATAAGTACATAATTTTGGTTTTTGAAAATAAATAAAACAAAATAAAAACCATCATATCCGGCAAAATTGACCAAATATTAAATATAATATAGACCTCGACTCGTTGAGACCTGCATTACACATTGCCTTCTTAAGTCCAACCCACTTGCCTCTCTTTTAATTTACGTTATATTTGGTAGGGAAAGTAGGAAAACCTGTATATAGTTTATAAAGGTTTGATGAAATATGCATTAGGCAGATTAAGGTTGGAAGACATGTGCACTGGGCGGATCGGAAGACGTAAAAGACAAAAATATATGTAGTGGAGAGACAAAAAAGAAAAAAAAAGTGGGATGATGTGAGGTGAAATATATTAAATTACCAAAAAATAAAAAAATATGGTAAATAATAGATAACTATGCGGTAGTTAAAAGGGTAATAACAATATAGCTCTCAAACATTGTTTTTCAAAAACATTTTGCCTAACACTGCAACTTGGGCTGGATTAGTCCGAACCCAACATCAATCCAATTYGATTGGGTTGGATTGATGTTTGGGTTAGAGTTAGGGTTGAAATTTATAAATTCGATTTTACTTTGTATTGGATTAGAATTAATTCATCGGACAATTTGATTTAACTCGAACCCGACTATATAATACATATCATATATAAATATATGTTATTTATATATGATTATATCATATATTGATTTGTTTAGATGTATGATAGTTGTATAGTCACCACCATACACTATCATTTATTTCATTTAAGATAATTACTTCACTTAATCGTAATTGAAAATACTAAAACCTTAATAACATATTTTATGTTTTATGAATACTTTATTCTTTATCTCCTCTCGGTTGTATCTATCATAAGTCATTATAATAAACTATAGTCATTTCAAACACTTATTTTTCTGAAATTTTGTACTTAAAGAACCAATAAAAACATCAACGAATAAATACTAATAAAACATATGACTAATATATGTAATGAAAGTTAATATATAAGATTAATAAGTTATACATGATGTTAAGGGATGGGAAGAAAGTTGGGTTGGGCCCAACCCGAAGTTGATTGGATTGGGTTATGGTTGAAGGAATTTCATTAGGGTTAGGATTGAATATGTTAGGTTGGGGGTTTAGAACTTAGAGTTGAGCTAAGGTTGGCCTCAACACAAACTAGCCCGGTCTGACTTGCAGACCTAATTTTGCCCTAATTCATTAACAATGTTGAAAGTGATAAATAAAATCATCAAAATTGTGCATTAGATATTCTATGAATCAATAGCATAAATATTAAGTTGATAAAAATGACCATTATAAACCAATCGATGAACCAATCATTCACAAGGTGTTAATGTCGATGATAAACTATTTGGTTGAGATTATATGGATTAAAATAGTGACAAGTATCAATATTGATAGATGAAAATAATCACTTTAAAGCACGTATATTCTTAAGGGTTGATGGATCAATCAGTTTTCAAGGTGTTAAAGAAACATGCCAAGAGTTGGGAGTTGGGATTTCAGCGAAACTTGGTTAAAAAGACAAAATGGTCTTATAAAATAATATAAGGATAAATTTGGACTTTGGAATTAGAAATATTTAAATGAATATTTCATGAAAATAATCGTTAGAATACCAACGGTAGGGATAAAGTAGTAAAATCCAGAAATTCAGGGGTCATTTTGTCAAAAAATATAGTTGGGGGTTAAGTATCATAACCCCCGTAATACAGGGTTGCTGTGTAACATTCAAATAGTAAGTTAGTAACCCTAGTAAGGGTAAAATACAAATTTATCTATTTTTAAAAAATCAGCAAATACTTTTCATCCTTCAATGACCAAGATAAAAAATGTGTATAGTTACATTTTTACCTTTAGACATCATCTGATCAATTTGCAAAATACTGTATTTGCCCTTAATCCAGCAATTTACAATTCCTGTTCTCTTTGACAAAATAAGGCAAATTCTAATAGTTGCAATGATGATATTATTCGAAATATTCTACTTCCTAAAATATTCTATATGTTTTCTTACAATATTACTGGTAATACCAAATTTGAATATCTCATCTCAATGGGAAAGCCAAATAAACTATTTAAATTGAATTTCATACATAGGTCAATCTCACATCAACAGATTTGGATTATTAGCAATCAAACAAGGGTGATTCTCTTCGGCTTTAGGTGTATGTGAATAGCAACATTTGAAGGAGTATGGTCTACTGATCGTGGAAATAAAATGCTCTCAACTACCTTGTTTGTCAATTTTAAAGGATGATTGGGGGAGAATAGTCGTTGCAACTCCCTTGTTATCGTCGACAGAGACGATGAACAATGGGCCGACAATGAATTAGGAAAAGACGAGGGATAAATGAAAAGAAAATAATGGAGAATAGAGAGAGGGTGAGAGGAATGAGAGGGATCTGTTGAGAAAGAAAGTTTCGGTCACCCACAGCTATGTTCACGTAATAAGTAGGAATGAAGAATAGTGAATTGGGTGGAAGAAGAAGATGATGATGATAGAAGAAAGAAAGAGGCCGATGGTGGAGATTGGAGTAGGTTCCATTGCTATAGTGCTTTGGGACGTTGATGACAGTAAACATCATTTATCTTTTGATTAGTTAAATGAAGAAACTAGTTTAGTTTTTCGGTGATATTATTGGTAAAGTCCTTATGCGTTAAAATTAAAATAAAGAATACTATTGAGATACTAGTAAAACCCCATGTGCATTCGTTCTTCGTAGGCCTGCTCTTCTTAGGTTCGTCTCTCTTGAGTTGCCCATATTTAGATAGAAAAAGTTAAAACTAGGATAACAAAAAAAAGGCAAAGAGTATAATATGTAAATAAGGGTATTTTAATAAACACAAGTGCATATTAAATCGTAAAAGAGTAAAATAGATATTTTGTAAAAAAGGTCATCGGTTTAAAGTTTTTCGTCTTGGTCATTGATGGGAGAGAGGTATTTGCCTATTTTTTAAAAAATAGAAGGGAGAATTTTTTCAAGTAAAACCATCGGGGAAGTTTTTGTATTTTACCCAAAAAGTAAAAAACGATCTCTTAAAAATGAAATGCAATTATGCAAAAGGCGGCGAAGGTATTAATCTCAAATATAGAGATTATCAAATTAGCCTGTCTGGATCGAAAAAAGACTGAAAAAATCCTTCTTCTTATCTTATCTTATAAATACTCAAACAAATCGCACAACTTCTCCCAAATGGAGACAATTACTTCCCTCTCTGCATCTATCCATCTGCATTGTTCTGCAACTAAGTAGGGTTTCTGCTCCTAAAAGGACAGTCTGAAGAGATAAAGTATAAATAGTGAGTTTACAATGGATTCGTATGCTCTACATCTTGCCATGGCTGCTTTGTTTGGGGCTTCGTTTGTGGCCGTTTCAGCTTACTATATACATCGTAAAACCCTAACTCAGTTACTGGAGTTCGCGAAGACACTTGAACGCGAGCGAGAGCGTGGAGATGGAGATGAAGAGTTGGATAGAGGTGATTCGCCGCAGCATTTCAAGAAGTATGCCGATAAGCGGCGAAACCATGGGAGGCGTAAGGCGACGGGGTATTACCGACGAACATCGGCTTCGTTGCCGGATGTTACGGTCATTGACACTATTGCTGATGGAGAGGAGAAGCGGAGCGGTCCACTCTCAGCGGAGGACCGTAACCTTTCTATCCCGGTTGGGTTGCCTCGGTTACACACGCTTCCTGAAGGTATGCATTTGTCGGACTTCTGTTTCTCTCCGGAGTGAAAAGAAAGTGAACGTAATTGACGCCTTTCGGCTGTGAATCAGGTATTTGAGTGTATTTTTTACTTCAACGTTTTAATTGTCACTCGTTATGCCAACAGAGACGATCAAGCATTGGTAGTTTACCAGAGTCTAAACTCTTCTTTGTATTCTTATAAGTTGAATTATGTTACGAAAAAATGGTCTACGACTTGAAGTGCCGATTCTCGTCATTCGCTAAGATGAGTCACTATTGCAGACCATGAGCAGGCAGAAGTGTTGGAGATGTTATCCATGGATGGTGTAATAACACTCTGAATACACGCCTCGGAAAGGAAAAAGTTATGGTCATTGATGTTAGTGTAAATACACAAGACTAAGAGAAATTTAGTTTAACTTAATAAAATAGTTGGGGATTTTCTTTTGGTACTTAATATTGGAGAATGTATCGTGTACAAGTAGTTAAATAGTCTCAGCATAAACTATCCTTTTCTTTTTCTAGTAACAATCGTTTATCTGGAGCTCACTGCACTGATTCTGAAAAGGAATGTCTCTTCTTCTGAATCCCTTTCTCTCGTTTAGAACGTTCCATAGCAGCAATTTGAATCTCCATGTAAGGCGAGAAAATGTTGCCAAGAAATCACTACACTGATCCTTACAGAATGATTGAGTGGAGCAACTCCTGGCGTTCAATATGATTTTCCTAAACTACCCTTCCTTCTTTCTTCTCGTGGTAAAAGTAACAAACTGAAGGGGAACACAAACTCAAATTTGCTGATGAATGAGGGAGTAGTAATGAGAAACAATAAATAAGGGACAAGAAATTTCTGATAAAAAAAGGGACAAGAAATTAAGAAAAACACAGAAAATAGTGCAACAAAGAATAAGAAAGTACTTGCCACACCATTCTAGACATTACATATTACTGTAGTTGTTGGGTTGGGGGGGGTGTTATCTTAACACCTGCCTTTAGGTTGTATTCACTTTCTTTCCTTTTAATAAAAAATTCTTCTTTACCTTTAAAAAAATTACATATTACCTTTCTAAGAAAGCACACGCCAGACCATTCTGTACATTGGGAACATCTCCCCCTGAAAGGTACTTGCTTACCTAGTTACCTTTCTAAGCAAGTACAGGAGATGTTCCCAATGTGCGACTGTAATGCCCTGTGGGTAGGTATGGGTGGGATTCTTGTGGGTAGGAGATCTGAATTGAATTTGAAGATTCGGGATTTCAATTGCTGCTATTTCATTTCATACGTACCAGTAACGCGTGAGGCATTTTTATCTTGCCTCATTTGTAATTGCCAATCGAAAGCAGCATGTAATAGGTTGACTAGACTATCTGTGCTACTCAACTTGGTAAAACATGGTTCTAAGCTACATGTTATCAAATATTCTAGCAGGTTAACTTGAAACATTGACTTTCATTTACTGGAATCTGCTTGCAACTTTTGGTTATCTCATAAGACTATCAAGCGCAATGTTAAGTAGGCATCAGGTGCCGATAGTTGAAGTTGCTATCTGATATCTTTGTATAGATGTCAATTTCTTCATATTGTCGCAAATTGTAAGCCATTTTTTTGATCAATAACTGAAAGAATTTCATTAAGAAATAAATAAGCGGGTACAATGAGGGGAGGGGAGCCAAACTCTCTTAGCTCCCACTCCCCAAAAGAGAAGAAAAATTACAGCATAGCCCAGAATAAGTCGTTTATTACCACCCCTTGCTTAGCCAAAACATCAGCCAAGACTCCAAGCTATTGGCATCTCTCTTAATCCATTTAAACTGAACTTCCATTCCTTGAGCCAAGTCTCTGAACTTTCTTTTTTTCATTTATATACTCCCACCAGTCCATCTCATCCTCCTTTTGGAGCCAACCAATAATGAGCTTTGAGTCCCCTTCAATTATCAGTTTAGAAACATTTAACTCCTTGGCTTTCTGAATTCCTTCCATCACAGCAAGGATTTCAGCTCTCAGTGAGTCACCTATGCCATTAGGGCCAGAAAATATAGCCCTAATAGTGCCTCCCTCATCTCTGAACACCCCCCCCCCCCCACCAAATGCTAGAAGGTCCAGGGTTACCCTCTCTACTACCATCAAAATTCAATTTGATAAAACCATTGGATGGAGGTGTAAATCATAAACCATTATTTGTAGTCTTTATTAGAGATGTATATTATATGTTAATCTCTATTCAGTATGCACTTTGTTGACTTATTTATGAATTCTGTCATTTCAGGGCAATCTGCAGGACGAGCAACTTCAACCAAGAGAGCTGGACATATTATCAGACCTACTTCTCCCAAATCTCCTGTGGCTAGTGCTAGTGCCTTTGAAAGTGTTGAAGGATCCGATGAAGAAGATAATTTGACAGACACTGCCAAACTAGATACTACATATTTTCATGCTAATGGAAATGTTGTAAGCACATGCAATTCTGTACATGCACTTGCAATGTAACCAGCTTTGCAAATGATGCTAATTCCCTCATTCCATTATGCCTGTGGTGGATACCCTATGTGTGTGTGTGATTATATGTGTGTAAATCATCATATGCATGTGTATGCGGTTCTGTGTACCTCTACGTTCTTCTCTTTATATGCCTGAGTTATAGGTTCCTGTAGTTCATGGTAGTTGATATTTTATATTCTTGATAAGTGTGTCATTATGTTATTCAATTTCACCCGGCTCATCCATGTTGTGTTTATACAGTGTTGTGGCAGTTACAGAATCTGAAAAAAATGAACCTCTAATGAACAGGGACCAGAGTGTAAAGGTCTAATTGAGAATTTGCCAAATAACATTAATGGCAACACAGAGGAGAAGCCAATAGCAGCACCCAGCATGATTCGGTCACATAGTGTATCTGGTGACCTGCATGGTGTTCAGCCTGACCCTGTAGCAGCTGATATTCTCAGGAAAGAACCAGAGCAAGAAACTTTTGTTCGGCTAAAAATTACTCCTAATGGTATTACATCTAATGATATTCTCAGGTTGTAATTGCTTTTTCATGTACTTAATGAAATTTCTCTTTATTATCAATATATACATATATGTATGTATTACACCTTGCCTTATTTAGCCTGTAGTACAGGAATCCCAGTAGCAAAGTATGTAGAAAGCAACAACTAAAAAGGTTTGACCTGTTTTCTCACCTTTTTCCTGAAATAAGTACTTGCAATAGTTTGTCAGATTCTTCTATACATGCCATTAAGCAAAGGAAGCAAATCACCCTAATAGAGTGAAAAAAAGTTCTGAAGCCAACTATATCTTATTTATTTTCTAAGATCTTAACACAGTATATCTCAGTAGTCGTACAAGACTACAGATTTGAACAGTAAATAAAAAGAACTTTAATGCTTACATGGCAAGATAAGATAATTAAAAATTAATCCTAGATAAGATAGAAAAGGATTAAAAATAATCCTACTAGGAAAGCTGATCCTAATAAATGACTTAATTAAATCTAAGTACAACTTAGGCTTTCACACGAGTACACTAATGTGGGGCCCACACTTTCCTACACTCCCCCTCAAGTTGGGAGTAGATGTTTGTCATTCCCAACTTGCATGGGTCTTCTTCTAACTTCTTTCTTGAAACAGCCTTGGTGAGAAGGTCTGCAAGCTGCATGTTGGAGGTGATGTAGGGGAGGCATATTTCTTGAGATGTAACCCTTTCTCTAATAAAATGCCGGTCCACTTCAATATGCTTAGTTCTGTCATGCTGTACTGGATTATGGACTATATTAATGGCAACCTGGTTGTCACAGTACAACATTAGGAGTTTCTCATAAGCAATACCCAATTCCTCAAATAATGATCTTAACCATAGAATCTCAGTCACACCATTTGTCATGGACCTATATTCAGCTTCAGCTCTGGAATGAGAGACAACACTTTGTTTCTTACTCTTCCAGGAGACCAGATTACCCCCTACAAAGGCACAATATTCAGAGGTAGATCTTCGATCATCAACACACCCAACCCAATCAGCATTTATGTAGACTTCTATCTTCATGTGGTCATTTTTCTTGAACAAAATGCCTCTGCCTGGGGACCTCTTCAAATATGTTAATATCCTCTCAATTGCAAGGAGATGAGTAGTTCTGGGAGAGTGCATATACTGACTTACTACATTGACTGCATAACTGATGTCAGGTCGTGTGAGGCAAAGATAGAGAAGTTTTCCAACTAACCGTTGGAACATAGCTTTATCTTCAAGAGGTTCTCCACCCTTTGCACTAATCCTGTGGTTTTGTTCAATAGGTGTGTCCGCAGGCTTAACTCCCAACTTTCCTGTTTCTTCTAGCAGATCAAGAACATACTTTCGTTGAGAGACAAAAATCCCATGCTTGGATCTAGCTACCTCAATGCCCAAGAGGTATCGTAGTTCCCCCAGATCTTTCACCTCAAACTATTGATGAAGAAGTTGCTTAAGAGACTCAATTTCACCAGTATCACTCCCTATTACTACAATATCGTCCACATGCACAACAAGCAAAGTTACGGAAGAATCCACTCTCTTAATAAACAAGGTGTGGTTTGATTGGGCCTGCACATATCTGAACCTATCAAGGGCTCGTCTGAATCTGTCAAACCAAGCTCTGGGGGACTGTTTTAGTCCATATAAAGCTTTGTTCAACCGGCAAACATTTTTTTTTTCTGTCTCCGTATCATAAAATCTAGGAGGCAACTGCATGTAAACTTCTTCCTGCAAGTCTCCATTGAGAAAGACGTTTTTAACATCCATCTGATACAACAACCAAGAGTAACTGGCTGCAAGAGATAATAGGACTCTGATAGTGGTCATCTTTGCTATTGGTGCAAAAGTTTCTAAGTAGTCAATACCATATGTCTGAGTAAATTCTTTTGCAACTAACCGGGCCTTATACCTTTCAACAGAACCATCAGCATTATGTTTCATAGTGAATACCCATCTACATCCAACCGGTTTCTTACTTTTAGGCTGATCAACTATCTCCCAAGTATTATTTCTGATGAGAGCATCTATCTCTGCTTTTATTGCATCCTTCCATTCAGGTACTTCCAATGCTTCCTGTATTGTTCTGGGAATGGGAATATCGGCAATGGATGCGAGAAAAGACTTATAGGAGGGAGACAAATGATCATAGGACAAGAACTGAGAAATGCTGTGAGCTGTGGATGTGGTACAACGACGCTTGTCCTTACGAACTGCTATGGGAAGATCAAGATCATCTAATGAAGGTGAAGGCTCCATGGTGGGATGTCTCTCATCTGTAGTATCTATGGTACCTGGATTTGGATCTGCAGAAGGATCTGGGGCTACTATGGTACTGGGATCTGGATCTGCAGAGGAGATTGGGACTGGTTTGCACTGTTGATGTCCGAAACCAACCCGTCTCCATCGTCTGTGATAGACTCTCACATCCTTGCACCTTTGACAACCTTCCCCATTACACCCTTCTTCACTTAATGGGATTGGTAAAGGAACTTCTGATGAGCTGCTCCCACCTCACTATTCTCCCATTGAGGAGAAACCCTTGGATAATAGGGTTTATCCTCAAAGAAGGTGACATCCATTGAAACAAATCTTTTTTCCAGAAGTGGGTTCATAACAATAATATCCCTTTCGAGTTTGGGCATAACCAAGGAAAATACATTTGGAGGCCTTAGGATCAAAGTTGGAACGATGGGGGCCAAGGATTTGAACGAAGCAAGTGCACCCAAAGGTTTTGAGTGGAATGGTAAACAATTCTTTATCAGGGTATAAAAGGGTAAATGGAGGTTTCATATTAAGAACCCGTGAGGGAATCCGATTGATGAGATAAACTGTTGTAAGAACAACATCCCCCCATAAACGTATAGGCACATTTGAGGTAAACATAATGCCTTTGGCTACCTCTAATACGTGTCTATTCTTTCTTTCAGCACCCCCATTCTGTTGTGGTGTATGTGGACAGGTACTCTGATGGATAATCCCATGTTCAAGCATGTAGGAGGCTAATGGGTTTGCAATTTATTCTTTTGCATTATCGGATCTAAAAATTTTAATTTTAACCCCAAATTGGGTAAAAATCATTTGATGAAAAATCCGGGTTAATGCAGAAACCTCATCTTGAGAACGCATTAGATAAACCCAAGAAAACCGAGTATAATCATCAACAAATAACAGGAAATATYTGTACCCTCCCATGGCTGAGGTATGATAGGGTCCCCAAACATCAATATGCACAATTTCAAAAGGAATATTGCTTCTGCTATTACTTAATGAATAAGTTGTCTTGCAATGTTTTGCAAGCTCACAACTTTCATACTTCAAACTAGACATCTGAATAGATTCAAATAAACTAGGAAACAAACTCTTCAAGACCTGAAAGGATAAATGACCCAGCCTATTATGCCAAAGCATCACCTGATCAAAAGACTGAGAAACAAAGGATTTCTTAGTTTCACTATCTTCCTGATGAACACTTCCTCCAAGTAGGTAGATTCCATTTGTCTCACAGCCAGTCCCAATCACCTTCCTTGTCTCCAGATCCTGAAAGACACATCGATCCGGAAAAAAGGTGACTGAACAATTCTGTTTTTTTGTAATGCTACTAACTGAGAGCAAGTTAGTATTAAGCTTAGGAACATGCAAGATGGAGGATAGGGAAATGACATCAGACAACTTGATGTCTCTTTCGCAAAAAAAAGGAACAAGGGATCCATCACCAATGGACACTTTGTCTTTACTAGAAGATAAATGATAGGTAGAGAAAAGTGATGGCAAGCCAGTCATATGATCAGATGCTTCTGAATCTATTATACAAGAATGTTCTGTATTTCTTGGAGCTGAAGCATGATAAGCTGAGGCCCGATTACCTGATTGAGCAAAGGATGAGGTTGAAGGAGCTGATGGTGGCTAAGGAGATGAGACTGAGTAACTATCTTCACTTTCCAATTGTATCAGAGCAACTCGACAGCAACTAGGGTGTCTAGAGGAGTGCCTCTTGAGGCTGCACTATCAGTGTTAACAGCCATATTGGCATTCCCCTTTTTGTTTCTGAGTTTTGCTGGAACTAGATGTGGATATAACTTCCAACAAGTGTCTTTAGTGTGTTTAGGTTTCTTGCAATGTTCACACACTAGGTCTTTCTTAGCCTATTTCTTCATATCCTTTTCCTTATCTCCCCTAGACTTGGGTTTAACTGCTGCCAGGGCAGATTCAAAAGGCTGCTGCTGCAACATAACCTTTCTCCTAGTCTCCTCACTGTGCAATAGGGAATAGGCTTGAGACAGAATCACACCCTCTCTTGTTAACAACTGCTGTCTTATAATATCATACTCAGAATTTAGACCAGCTAGGAACTCAAATACTCGGTTAGTTCAACTTGTCTTATGTAAGTTTGTGCATCTCTCTGACTTTCCCATTCTATTGTCTCAAGAGGGTCAATTTCATGCCATAGAGATTTTAGGGTTGAAAAATAAACAGAGGCCTGTTTCTCTCCTAGTCTGAGATTTCTAACTTTCAATTTCAGCTCATAAGCCCTAGCAACATTAAGGGGCTRAGAATAAGTTTCTTTTACAATATCCCATATTTCTTTAGTTGTTTTTGCCCATAAGTAATTTCAGCTGATGTGTGGATGCATGGAGTTGCACAGCCATATCATCACCAAATAATTTTCATGAATCCACCTAACAAGTGTGATCCTCTTTAGTTGGTTCCTTCACATCCCCCAACAAGTAGTTCAGCTTTCCTCCCCCCCCAATGGCCATCATGGCTGATTGGGACCATTCTAAGTAGTTTGAACCATCAAACTTTATAGTTGTAATTTGGAAGGTGTTTTCGGACATGCTTACTGAACCAGTCCCAAAAACACCCTCCCCTTGGCTTTTAAACTCCATTAATAATCAGTAAAAAGACTTCCTAATTACTGTAGCAGTTCTGTTGTAACAGTCCTGCTGAAACAGCTCTTCCAGAGAGCAAAGAAGTTGAGGGAGACAAGTCCTGAAGCAATAACAGCCCTGAAAGATTGAAAAACTTACCAAGGTATTCTTACTTTCGATCTTAAGAAAGATTGAAAAACTTACCAGAAAATTCTGAAACGCTCTGATCTTGAACCAGAAATCTTCTGAAATTCTGACTGCAACCTCTAGTACCGATCGAACAGAAATCCTTTGAAATTCTGATCGCCACCTCCAGTACTGATCAAGGGTTGATCTTGATCCTTTTCTCTTCCTCTGATTCTTCCTGGTTATCAATGATACAATCCAATCTTTGGACTGTTGCTGTAGATAACCTCCAAGAATCAGCCGAAGAGAGCTTTCTCTATTCTTCCAGCCCTAGGCAACTCTCATGTGATCGGCTGGATCAAACTCACATGAAACTCCCTAACCTGGCTCTCATACCAAGTAGTCGTACAAGACTACAGATTTGAACAGTAAATAAAAGAAAATTAGAAGAGAAGAGAAGAGAAGAAGAGAGATGGAGAAGAGGAACTCGTGGAGGGGTTTTAGGAGAAGAGAGTGGTTGGTTGTGTTAAAACAGCCGCCTCACCCTTTGAATTTATATACATAGTCTCCTAATTGTAAAAGAACTTTAATGCTTACATGGCAAGGTAAGAAAATGAAAAACTAATCCTAGATAAGATAGAATAGGATTAAAACTAATCCTACTAGGAAAGCTGATCCGAATCAATGACTTAATTAAATCTAAGTACAACTTAGGCTGTCACACGAGTACACTAATGTGGGGCCCACACTTTCCTACAATCTCCATTACGTAGAGCTTCTGGTGCAAGAAGAATTTGGTCACTTGACCAGCATTACACTCAACTCTTTAGAGGGCAAGGAATGCGGATTTGACAAGAAGCTAACAACCTTTCAGATACTGTATTTCCTATTTTCTAAAACAAAATAGTGATTTTCCTTGTGATCTATAGCACTTAATCCAACTTCCCTGAGAATGATGCTAGAGGTAGTGGTTATCAAGGGCTATAATTTTGTTTGATTAATTAGTTAGTGTCTTAGTGATTACCAAAGCAGGCCTACTGGGTATAAGTTGGAACTAAGAATCGGTGTGGCATTACTTACTATGGGTGGTACATAATTCTATGTCTGTTTCATTGAGCTGATTTCTGAGTGTAGTTTCTCCTATAAGTGAGATGTATGTTGTTCCAACTTCTGATAGGGCTTTTTGGAGTTGACATTTAACTCCTGATGCTTTTAAAAACCCAAGACCTGTTGTATGGTTGTACCCCCATTTTAAAGGAACTAACAGAGATTTCATTGAGCTTGAAGGAAGGATAAAAGATGTACAAGGTGCACATACTAAAACAATAACAACCCCATTCCTGTGCAAAAATAGGAAGGACTAGAGCTGTCACTATACCCCCCTCCAAAAAAAAGAAGAAAAGAAAAACTCCCATTCCCCTAATGGGTGGTTGTCTGCCACAGAATTTTGCTCTCTTGGGATCCATCTCAGTGTAGAAGGGAAAGAGCTTAATGTTATCTACTTATCTGTAATCTCTGTTAAGGTAATGTGCTAGTCTCCACTGCCCCGAACATACTTTTTTGCCCCATCTAATAGAATTTGTAGAGTCTCCACAAACTAATAGTTGTGCCAGTTGCATTTTTTACTATCCTGTTCGTGGTCAGCAAGGCCAAAACTGCTTTAATGGCATCGACATCACCAAAAAGGACTACTGCAGAATCAGATGGATGATTTATTTGAGTCAATGAAACTCCCATTCCTAACTACCCTGGGTTTCAAAGAGAGCTTCCATTGAAGTAAGTGGGAACTGGCCACCTGGAAGTGGAAATGGTTTGATGAATGGGGGAATTTCAGTCAGATTTTTTTGACAGTACTAAGTGTGATGCCTTTGTAGTTCCTGGTGGTGATAGTCCATGAACTAACCAGATGAAGATCTCTTCCTCTCAGTGCTTCAAAAGATGCTATCTTACCTCAAAAACCTGATTGTTTCTCTCTTCTCACACCGCCATGAGATTCCATCCACAATATACTCCCCAGTTTATATCCACACATGAGTACATGTAATGCTTCTTTCATCATGTTACCTCTATGGACTTCAACACTGATTATAAATGTTTAATGTAATGTAGAAGTCTGTTTTTTATTCCTTGATCTTGCAATTAGGTTGCTTATTCAAACATTGTTATTTTTTGGTCTACCAGTCAAACAACCTAAATATCCAAGTATCATGTACTTATTCTTGCATGAAGGTTAACTATTGAGGCTAATATGTGATTATTATGATTTTATCTGTAGTTGTAGAGGTACCATCTGCAGACGAAGTGGAGGCTTATCGGGTACTTCAGGAATGCCTTGAGCTGCGAGAAAGTTATGTTTTCAGAGAGCGAGTTGCTCCATGGGAGAAAGAAGTCATTACTGATCCCAGTACTCCAAAGCCTATTGAAAACCCATTTTCATATTCTCCCGAGGGGAAAAGTGATGTGAGTTTATGCTTATTACTTTTTATAATTGGGATATTCTATTGTTTTATCATTTCCATCTACATTAGTATTCGAGCATGTAATTTCTACAAGTTCATTTTCTTCTCATGCCATTAATTCTTTTTATTACCTTCTCTTCTCAGCATTATTTTGAGATGGAGGATGGAGTGGTTCAAGTTTATGCAAATAAAGAGTGTAAGATATAAAATTGTTCATTTCTTTTGCCTTGAGTCGATTTGCCTCCTAATCTTGACGCAGGAGTAAATCTCTATCCTACCTGAAATTTATGCATTGTTTACTCTGTCGTGTTTCAGCGAAAGAAAAGCTTTTTCCTGTAGCTGATGCTACAACATTCTTCACTGATTTGCATCGCATCCTTAAAGTAATTGCTGCAGGAAATATTCGGACTTTATGTTATCGTCGACTTGTTCTTCTGGAACAGGTTTTTCTTTTCTTTTCACTGTTGATAATGTTCACTGCAATAATTAAATTTACAGATTCCATGATCAGATGCTGATTTATTTTTCACCTTTATCTCCATTTAGAAGTTCAATCTACATTTGATGCTAAATGCCGATAGAGAATTTCTTGCTCAGAAAAGTGCACCACATCGTGATTTTTATAACGTCAGGAAAGTTGATACACATGTCCATCACTCAGCATGCATGAACCAGAAACATCTATTGAGATTTATAAAATCAAAGTTGAGAAAAGAGCCTGATGAGGTAAAGATGTGGATACTCCCTTCTTCTGTAGAAATACTTTTATTTCTTGGTTGATTCAATTAAGGACAACCTAGCTTCGAAACCATTACCTTGTTGGGACCAGCTAGGATTATCACGTGGGCATATAGCAGAATTCAAGCCTGCCTCACAAAGTCCTAGACTTGTTCACATGGAACTGTTATGTTCAGTATCTTTTTCTTTGAAGACAAGTTGCATTTTTATTACACTTAAACCTTTTAAGAGTAGCTTTGAATATATCATCTCTTCAGTACTGCCTAGTGTCTTTCACAAGCAAACAGAACTGAAGCTTAGTGGTAATCCCATACTTGTTTTTCTGGAAATTAGTAATATGTCCTTCCAAAGGCAAGGTGCAAGATGAAGCATTATGCTTTCACTTGTCTAGAAAAAACCCAGAAACCTTATGCTTTCATATACTCCTATGCAGGTTGTAATATTCCGAGATGGGACATATCTGACATTGAAAGAAGTTTTTGAGAGCTTGGATTTAACTGGGTATCATGACATCCAGTTTTATTCTTTTAAGATTTCCTTGTTTTTAATATATTCGAAGACTTGAGATAATTTGCATGTTTCCTTGTAACAGGTATGACCTTAATGTGGATCTTTTAGATGTTCATGCTGACAAGAGTACATTTCATCGTTTCGATAAGTTCAATCTCAAGTACAACCCATGTGGTCAAAGCAGACTCAGGGAGATTTTCCTTAAACAAGATAATCTTATCCAAGGCAAATCCTGTTAATTTGTTTAATTTTCTTTTCTTAATTTGTAAATCTTGACAACAAAGGGCAATGAATGTGCATAGAAGTATATGAAAGCACCCTCTAAAGATGTCATCCACAAAGAACAAGAGAGAAGAGAGGGGGGGGGGAGGGAGGGAGACTTCATTTCTGTTGATGCAAGAGGCAAAAGGACCTCAAAAGAAATTCACCCTCAAAAAAGAAACATCCAAAGTGTCATCCTGCTTCTGGTGAGTTTTTTTGCTAATAAATTCTGCAGTTTCTCTTGAACCAGATTCCTCATAAAATTGCCAAGGGGATAGCTGACCAACAAACTTTCCCTTTTCTTTGTCATACCGACAACCTGCCATTCAGATAACAATGCCTTCACCACTGAATTGGGGAAACACCATGCAGGGGTAATGTTGAAACCCTTCCTCTGAAGCAAATCTTTAGTGAGACACTTCTCTAGGGGAGTAATCCAAGCAAAAAAACTTTACCTTTGATGGAGCTGCATACCTCCAGATTGTTTTGCTAGGAAAAGACTCCCAGGGTTCACCCACTAGGCCCAGATAGAAGGATTTAACATTGAAAACACCAGAGTGCTTCCAGCTCCAAACTCTTAAAACCTAGGACTCCAGATTTGGGTGATGATTCTGGAGCAAGGCCAACAAATCTGAAATCATTCCTAGCTCCAGTCATTAAAATTCCTTCTAAAAGGACACCAGAGGAAACTAGCTTCATAATTTGCATTACACAAAAAAAGTGTAATTTTCAAGCGAACAAAAAAAGTCTTAATTTTGATTGGAATAGGGCCTGACCAAACTGCTTTCAATGGAAATGCCATAGAGTTATACAGGAGAGAGAGGAGGAATAGACAACCCAAAAGAAGGAACCACAGGTATCTGGAAGTCAAAACCAACAATGTCAAGAGATGTTCTTTCTAGGTGGTTAAGGATCTCCAAAGCACAAAGGATTTTACATGCATGGAATTTGCTTCCCAAAGTTTTTCTTTGTCATGGTTAAACAATTCACCTTCTACTGTACAGCTGTAATAATTTTTTTCTTTGATAAAACTTTATTTTGTTTTACAACGAAGAAACTTACCCTTTTAAAGTATATTAGAATACTTGAAAACCTAACTTAAAAAAAGTTTATTATTTTAATTCAAATAGATATTTTATTTTCAACATATATGTTACTTTATTATAAATAGTTACTATCATAATATTCTAATTCAATATTTTTTCAGAGAATTGCATCTATTCTTAGCACTTCCCATTGTTGAGAGTGGTGTGAGAAATTCTGGGGCAATATTATCTTTATAATCAGTTCTCATAATTTGTGGTATTATTGCCTTATTATTTACTCTAGTTCAATTCATATATAAGATAATGTAGTGGGGTATGCTCCCTGATGTTCTTCTTCTTCTTCTTCATATATTTACTAGTTGGTACTAGAACATTGTTGAGGATCCACAGGCCTTGACAGAGCTTCCAGAACTTTTTGATGTCACTAGCCATTGAGATGGTTTGATCAGTCATCCTTCAGTCAATTCTGAGAAACCCTAGATTCTGGTGGGGGATGAACTTAGGTCTATTTGCATGATTATTCCATAGTGATTTTACACAGTTTTGAATCTTTTATTGATTTTATGGTGAAAATTTGAAAGAAACAGATTTGGTTTTCTATCTTCTATGGACCAGTGTCAAAAGATATGCATATAAAACCCATTATGTTCAATCCGTGTAATATCTATTAATTGGTTGCAGTTGGTCATGAATTTTTCTGATGTTCCGAGAATATTTGATTGCTTTTTCTTCATTTATATATACTTCCCAATAGTGACTATGATTGGCATACAAATTTCCTCTAGTAGCCAGGGGTGGATCACCTGTAATGTGGACCCCTAAAAATTTTCTAGCCCCAGAACTTACCTCAAACAATAGGTGCATCGCATAGATTACGTTTACACGCCCTGCCCTAATAATGCAGATTCCCAAAAAAGGCTCAGATCTATTGAAACCACCCCTGTTCAGATTATCAGCCATGAAATTTGCTTATTTTTCAGTCAATTTTAATGTCAAATTTATAGTGATGGACAAATATCTAGCCCTGCCAAGTACCAAGGGCCCAAACTATCATATTGCATCTACTTGATTACAGTCTGAGAATCTCTTTCCATCTCAATGCTCTTGAATCCCTGTATGTGTTCCAACCAGTTCAGTTAGAGTCCCCATGCCCAAATTATCAAAATAGAGCTTTACTAATTAAAAAGATAACCCCATCTACTGAAAAGTATAAAGCTATTAAAAATTAAGTAACATAATAGCAAAATGTTTCAACCAAGGTTCGAAGTATTGATGCAATACACCCTGTATATCGTACCGTACCGCCTGTTTAAAGGTGTTTTCAGGAAACTCTTTATTTTATTTATTAAATAATATAAAATATCTATAAAAATGAAATGAAATTTTGAAAAAACTAAAAAAATAAAATGTGAATGGTTTAAAGTACCAATACACCCTTGCTGATACATTTGGGTGTATTGATACTTTAAACATTAGTTTCAATATAAAAATTATTGAAAATTATGGCCCAATGTAGTTTTAGGAAAGATTTGCTTTCTTTAATAAAATATACATATAAATATATAATACACTTTCTTAAGAGAAGTTTATGAAATTTAATTATTCTTAGATTAAGAATGTAGGCAGGGATATAATCACTTAGCAAGTGTAATTGGCTTTTAGGTAAAATTTTATGAGTGAAAATGGAACATCTCCATCGTTTTGTAGCTAACATTCATTTGAAAATATTTGATTAGTTAACTCTCAAGTCTGGAAGAGTAGAAGCATAACTATAATTATCAGGGAACTTTTGGAATTAAACCTTACCTTCATGGATAAGGGCTATTATGCAAAATGGTCCTTGTCTTGGGTCTTGGGAGGGATAGATTGGATATTGACCTAAGTTTTGGCATCCTTCTGAACAAAGTGGCCACTCCCAGACTTTTTGTCCTTTCTCACACTTGTTAGCATGGATTTTTCCAGTGCACCAAGCAATATTATAGGGGAGGAAAATGTAATTTTGGTATACCAATATGGGGGGGGGGGAAAAATGTTTCCCTTATAAAATGGCAAGCTACTAACTAAACAGTTTAATACTATGAAAGGGAAATTAAAAGGTTAGTAGTATACGGAGAATTTTTTGCATGTCTTACTATTTAAACAGAAGCAAATGGTGGTTCCTCTCGTTAACCTTTGAAGATGGTTATTAGGTCCCTTAGATTCAGCCAGCTGATCTATTATTAGTGCAATTCAAACTAGGATAACAAGAGATTGCTTTCTTTATCCAGTCATTGAAATGTGAAATGGTTTTTGTATGCTATCAAACTAGCTTAGATGTGAACATAGAGTAGGTCTGAAACTCTGAATAGATGAAGCATGGATTACTCAATGGAATTGATACATATTTTTGGTATTTTTTTTGCAAGTTTACTTTATGGAGCCAATGTTTTTCTTTGAGTTCTCCTTAACTTTGGGGTTCATGTGCTTATTCTATGGTAGAACATTTTGAAAGAAAAAAATCAAATGATTATCTCTACTTTGGATTAGTCTGAAAGTATATTAATAATCTTTACCTGCTAATCCGTTTTATTTTGGTCATGATTGTTATTTTGAAGTAATTTGTATGTACTCTCCTCTCCAACAGGTCGTTTCTTGGCTGAGCTGACTAAACAAGTATTTTCTGATCTTACTGCAAGTAAATACCAGGTTCTTCATAAATCTTTTTCTCATAGATTTATCCTTTTACTTCAATTTTTATTAATATGCTTGTGTTATTGTGATTATGTCACAGGTTTGTATCTTTTGCCCAGTGTCAGACTGTAAAAGTATAATTGCTTTGATAATTTTACTTATGGTATTTATTTTCTGAGTCTTGCAAGTATTGAAAATTTCCTCCTGTATGGAAGCGGATTAACAGTTGCAACCAAAGTTTCTTAAATAATTAATGGGACATGCCAATTTTGTCTGTCTAATAGAAAATACTTATATAATATTAAAATTATCCAAAATTATAAGAAATCCCCAATTGGGCAGAAATCTGAGGAGATTTTCTGCTGTACAGATGCTCACTTTATAAGGCTGATTTTTCTCTGTTTTTTGGATATCAATGCAATTCATACTTTACTATCTTCTCTCACAAAATAGTCCTTGACAATAATTTATCTTCCTAAAATAACCCTTCCTCGTACAAACTAAATACTTCAATATGATGAAGGCTGTGAGGCTGGTAGACGGTTGGAGCCTTGTAGGGTATTTCCATCATTCTTCTGGGTGCAGGTCAGTGTTTCAAAATGTAGGTTTTTTTGACAGCATTTCATGGGTTCACCTCCTTTTGCAAATTTGTACTGCTAAGGCCCCAATTCATAAAGGAATAATGACATGCATATATGGTTAAGGATTTATTTTCCCTACGGGTGTTGAGTTAATAATGGCTGCGGGAGTATTCTCAAATTGGTAATAAAGGGATGTGAAGATCTAAGAGGCTTTGGGGCCTAAGATATTTAATTAGAGCGGTAAAACCCAGATATTTTGCTTCCAGAATCAAATAGCATTCAGATAAATGTCAAGGATCGTTCCAGGTTAATGTGCTATGCTAAATATACTTCAGCCCTTGGAATTGGGCTTTTATGTTTTTTTTTTCCCTGCCATTTCACCTTTCCTTTTCTATTGGATGCATGCACCTTATCTCTCTTTTAATATTTGGTAAAAGTTGTCACATGGTAGAAGTTGACTCCTTATTGGCATTTCCTATGTTTCTGGCCAGTGTTACCAGGAAAAATTGAAACACAGGGTGTAATCATGCCAGAAATTGGAGACAGCACCAAGGTTTAAAATGTCGATGTCGATGGAATGTCAGTCATCCAATTATAAGAAACATGTTGGAAATGTTGGAAATATCGTATGGAAATATTGTAAAAATTACAGACATGGTGGAAACATTGTAAAATATGCAGAATATAGAATGATATTTTATGAAATGATAGAARAAGCATAGACACACCTTTTTAAATTATTATCTTGTTCCAAATCATTAAACAAAGCTAAGAAACTAAGATTATAGACAAAAGAATACGTTATGAAGTTTCCCTCTAAACCTTAAGATTTAGACTCCATGATAGAATGAGTTAAAGCAAAATTTAAACTTATAAAAAATGCAAATGGTTGTAATAGATTAACCAAATAATCTATTACACAAACAAAAACTAATATTTGACTTCATGTTTGAAATGAATATTGAGGTAGTTCAAAGTGGTAATCATGTATGTTTGGTGGACAATAACTTGTTACTTCACATACCTACAAGAATTGTTACCAACTTATGTTATAATACTATCTTTTGTACTCCACATAGTATTGGTAGTGTTCACTGGGGAACATGTCAATTCTAGTAGAATTTCATGTTGCTACCCATGGAAGTGGAAATGGAAATATGTCATGGAAACTATCTCTTGTACTTCACATGGTGCTGGGTAGTCTTCATTGGGGAARTGTTGATTCTAGTAAAATTTCATGTCGCTACCCATGGAAATGGAAATATGTCATGGAAATATTAGGGAAATTAGTGACATTTTAAACCATGACAGCACTGACAAATATTAGGGAAATTTGACTTGAAGCCTCTTAGAGTGACCACTCACCACGAAACCAGGGTGGTGAGTCCTGATTTTGAAAAAAAAAAGATTTTGGATTGAGAGAGGGAAGGGGTGAGGTACCCCTCTCTCGTGTCGGATGAACCCCCAATGATACGAGTTGCTCCTCTTGCACAAGAATTAGATGGGAGAACGAGCACAACTGAATCTCCTTGAGAACTTACACCCAGTTCAACAAACACTTCATAGTCAAGAATTTTGCATGATTCATAATTTCTATAAATGCTTCGGATTGGAGTCAAACGAGGGTGGTGGTTCCGGGGTCCCCCCTTCTAATCTCTCTTGGGACCCAATTATTATTGAAAATGAAAAAAAGGCGTAGAGTCGTAGACTATGATAAACCTCTGGCTTCTCACATCCGAGCACAAGTTCAATGATTTGGGTGATAAGGGGGTTCCTCAGGGGTCGTATCACCTTAATAAAAGCTACTCTAGCAAACCTGCCAACTTACTTTCTCTCGGTGTTTAGAATGCCGCAAAGGGTGATACTGAAGGCAGAGAAAATTATGAGGGATTTCTTGTGGGAGGCTGGGGAAGGAAGGATCATGCGGTTAGGTGGGAAATATTGTGTAGAAGGAAAGAGCAGGGTGGCTTGGGCTTAGGCAATCTAAGGAAGAAGAATACAACTTTGCTAGGCAAATGGCTGTGAAGGTGGCCTCTAGAAAGGGAATGACTTTGGTACAAAGTTGTAAGAAGTGTGCATGGTGACGTAGGTAATGGTTGGGATGCTGGTGTATCTCGGTGGGCTATGCTAATTTCTCCATGGAAGGCTATTCATAGTATTCTTGTTTTTTTAAACCTGATCGATTATGATGCTTGCACTGGAGATAGGGTTTTGTTCTGGGAGGATGTTTGAATTGGTGACTTCACCCTCAAGGACCCTTTTCCCCTCCTTGTATTCCCTTTTATGTTGTAAAAATGAGCAAATTCAAAGGTTTGTGGCCTCCAATTCCTTTGGCCTCAACTGGAATTTGGGTTTTATAAGAGATTCTGAGCTTGACCAGGTTGCTTTGCTCCTTAAAACTCTTGATCATGTTTGCATGGACCTTTCCTCCCCAGATACTCGCATTTGGAAGCCTTTATCCTTGGGCTTCTTTTCTTGTGCTTCCTTCTTCCTCCCCAGAAGAGGAAGTCTTGTGGAGGTGTGCTAGAGCTTCTTTGGTGTGGACTGTTTGGGAGGAACAAAATGCCAGAAATTTTAATGATAAGGAGAGGGATCAGGCTTGTGTGCTGGAAAGTATTTTAAGTAGGGCCATAAGTTGGGTAAAATCCTTGGACCTATTCTCAYCCTACTCTTTYGATGATATAAGGAGGAATTGGGAGCAAGTTTCAAAAAATTCTGAAGTCAGAATCATGCCTTTGGTGGAATAGAAGCCTCCTAATGCTAGGTGTTATTAAATTAAATTTTGATGGCAACAGCTTGGGTAACCCTGGGCCATTTGGAATAGGGGAGTCTTCAGAAATGATGAGGGCCAGATTGTAGTTCTATTTTCTGGTCCTATTGGGATGGGAGATTCAGTTAATGCAGAAGTCCAAGCTGTACTACAAGGAGGAGAAATTGCAAAAGAGATAGGCGGTGGAGCATTTATTGATTGAAGGTACTCCAAATTGGTTATTGGATGGCTAAAAGAGCTGGAAATGACAGCCTGGCCCTACAGGAGGGCCTTGAGAAGATTTAAGTGACTAACATCAAATATCTCAGTTACAGTTCAATGGCAAAGAAGATCGGCAAATGGGTTGGCAGATTTTCTAGCCAAACAAGGAGTACGTAGAAATCAGCTCTTTTGGGCTCACTTGTAAGGTTTATGATGGAGTTCAGAGGTTGCACCTCACACCTCTTTGTGAGGAGTTGTGTGATGTATATTGTGCTCTTTGATTAGTCACTATTATCTATAAAAAAAGGGGGTTTGAGTCTCGCCAATGTGCTCAATGCATCCCTCCCTTCTTCTAATTGGAGCCTAATGAGGGTGGTATTACCGGAGTTGTTTGGAAGTAATGGTGAGGAGCGTATGACAATGCTGACCAAGTGAGGTGTTATGCAACTTGGAGCCCTATCCCTTCTATGAAAATGTGACCAAGGATGAAAAGGCAAGAGGAGGAAATGCGGAGGGTGAGCTAAGAAATGCAAAGGTGGAGAGGAGGGGAGGTTGTGTCTTCATTCAGAGCTAGAGAAACACCAGCAATGGCGGATATTTTAGCATGGGTGTCTAAACTTTGAACTCTCAGACTCCTCTTCGGAAACGGAAAATTAAAAATAGAAAATGTAGAGAACGAAAGGATGAAGAAAAAAAAAGAAAGAAAAAATAGTTGATGCAACAAGAGTGGGTTAATGTGTCTTAAGTTGAGGGGAAAGGGGCTCCCGTCCTAACKCTTCTTCGATGGTCTTTTGGGCTCCTTCCTGCCCCTATTTATAATGTTCAAGTAGGGGTAGTTTGGGAATTTTGAGAGCTCTTACAGGTAGAAATGTCTAAAAAGGTGAAAACAAGGGTATTATGGTGAGTGAGAAGGTGAAGAGTATTTTGGCAGTTTTCTAGGGGTAGAAGTGTCTAGGAAAGACTGAGAACACTTACAGTTTGGTGAAAGGAATAGTGAGAGGTGTTTTGGATATCTTAGAGTTTTTTGGGGTATTTAAGTAAAGTCCTTGGTTTGGGAGGAGTGTTCTGATCTAAGGGTTAACTAATTTGGATGGTTGGGATTGTTCCTAGAGGAGACAAGGTATATGACTAGGTCAAAGGAAAGTGTTAACTAGCAACCAATGATAGTTCACAAAATGGAATCTTATCTAGTTTGGAAGCTAGAGAAGGTATTTTTAGGTGAAATTTGGTAGGGTGGGGTTTTTAAGGGTCCGGTCCTAATGGTGAGGTCTGATTGGTCCGAAGAAGTTTGGATTTAGGGGATTCAAAGATCTTGGGTTTGGTCAATGAGAGGAGGTGAAATAGTATCTTGACTTGATCAAAGGATAAACAAGGGTTTCCAGGTGAAATTATTTAGGCAAGGGTTTTAGGGTATCTGGAGTCTTTTGGTGGTTTCTAATTAATTAGAAGAAGTGTCTATATGG